TTTTTGGACCACTGCCATCTGGCTTACCCATTCAGTCGGCTTTGTGACAGGTACTAGAATTCCTCTATCAACCAGTTGGTCTAGATCCTTTTTCACACGGTCTTTGAGAGCGAGTGGAATTTTTCTACACGGTAAAACTTTTGGTTTCACGTTTGGGTCTACTGTTAAGTTGACTTCTCCTAAGTCACCAAGATTTGTGCCGGACTCTATCTTCGCAATAAAACGTTCCTGATTAACAGTGACAAGTCCGAGTTGTTGGATTGTTTTGAGTCCTAATAAGCTTTGGAATGAGTTTGGCACAATGATGAAATTAACTTCATTTTCTTTTCCAGTTTTCACATTTTTCAAGGACAAACTGGCTTCACCGAGGGGTTTGAGGCTGGACTTATTGAACATCCTTAGAGTTTTTGTACAACTTTTCACTTGACTTTTTCTGACATATTTCTTTTGAATTGTGTTGACTTCTGCACCACTGTCTAGTTGGAAGCAGATTTCACATTCATTAACCATCATTAGGGCTGATATATTTTCCTTTTTACTAGGATTTTCTATCGTGTTCAGCCAGGAGTCATCTGAGCCATCACTTTCATAGTTGTGATTAGTTTCTAGCACGTTGACCTTCTTACACTGAGATTTGAAGTGGTTACGGCCATTACAGTTATTGCATCTCTGTCCCCAAGCTGGACAATCTTCTTTCTTCATCTTATGTTTTCTGCCACAGAATTTGCATACCTTTTGAGGAGGAGGTGGTTTTTCTTTTCTTTCTTTTTGTTTAGGTAGTTGTCTTTTAGATCCCTGTGTTCTGAACTGTTTACTTTTGATCTTATGAATTTGACTGTCTTTAGTAGTGTCTTTCATTTCTTGTGCTTGTTTGCTAGCTTGTTCCTAGGACTGACATATTCTGATTGCCTTGCGTAAATCTAATTCATCATCCCTCAGCAACAGCTGCTGCATTTTGCCGGATGAGGAAAATACTATTTTGTCCCTGATCATTCGATCTTCAATTTCTCCAAAATTGCATGATTTCGCACGTATGCGTAGTTCAGTTACAAATTGATCAAATGGTTCTGTCACGGATTAACCGCGGGTTTATGTAACGTACGTTAACGTTATTATTACGTCACAATACTGTACGTTATGTTTCTATAGTTAAACAGAGTCTAAAATAAACCACTATACGATCAAGACGTATTTCTATTTTTTCCACAACAATTTTGGTGCCGTGATCGACGGAATGTTTACATAATATACGCACAATGGAAGGAAGACTGAAAGCCATACGGGCCGGTAACAGATCAGCGGTGACAAAACTTTTCGGACGATTTTTGGACTTGAAAGAAAATACAGCCAGTGAAGTAACGGAGGAAGTCGAAATAATTAGAAAGTCCCTAACGCAAAAAAGACAAACTCTACAAGAACTAAATGAACGCATATTAGACGCATTATCTGAAGAGGACATAGAAGAAGAAATCACAAACACAGATGAGTATATGTACGAATTCGATTGCAAAATTAAGAAAATAGAAAAATTTACAGAAAAAGTTTCAGGTAAAACTTTGAATGCCAGTGCTGAGTGTTTTGTACCCGCCTTAGAAATTCATGATAATAATGTAAACACGTCAGCTGCAATTAATTCAAGTGAAACGGCTTGTGAGAATATTCTAAATAATTTTCCTGCCACTGATCTCGATGAACAAAGTAACCACGATTGGCAGAAAAATGTTTTGTCATTACCATCCAACCACGCTACGAATAATCATAGATTACCGAAGTTAAATCTTCCAGATTTTGATGGGGATATATTACAATGGAATACGTTTTGGGATTCATTTGAATCAACAATTCACCGCAACCAAACTTTAACACCAATTCAGAAGTTTTCGTATCTCAAGGCTCAATTACAGGACGCAGCAGCACAAACCATTGCAGGATTTACTCTCACAAACGCAAATTATGAAACCGCCATTTACGAGCACAGGTGTAGACTTCACAGGAGCTTTATTCGTCAAGGAACGGAACCGAAGAGAATCTAAAGCTTATATTTGCCTATTTACATGTGCCAATACAAGAGCAGTTCATCTAGAGACAGTCAGTGATTTATCCGAACAATCATTTTTACGGGCGTTCCGTAGATTTGCAAGCCGAAGATCCGTGCCTAAGCTAATCATCTCAGATAATGCGCCAACTTTCAAGTCTGCAGCGAATTACCTGAAGCAACTATTTGAATCTAAAACACTTAAAGAGGAACTCGCAGATATGGGAGTTAACTGGAAATTCATTCCAAGGGCAGCTCCATGGTATGGAGGCTTTTGGGAGAGACTCATCGGAATTACCAAAACAACACTGAAGAAAATAATCGGTCGTTCATACATCGATTTAGAAACTCTACAAACTGTAGTTACAGAGGTTGAAGCGATAGTTAATGACCGTCCGTTAACATACGTTTCATCGAACCTCGAGGATCCAGAGCCACTAACACCATCACATCTACTGTACGGAAGAAGACTGACTTCCTTACCATACCCAACAGATGACCAAGAGAATTCAAGCGATTGTCACCCATTGACTTGCCGTCGTCTAAACCAACGTCTGGATAATCAAAAAACTATCTTAAATCACTTTTGGATCCGCTGGAAGAGAGAATATTTAACATCACTCAGGGAGTACCATACAGTAAATGGAAGCAGGTCGCAGAAAATTAAAGTCGGTGATATTGTCCAAATCCATGAGGAGAAACCTCGGATCATGTGGAAACTAGCTGTCGTGGAGGAACTCATACAGGGGAGAGACGGATTCGTTAGAGCTGCCACTTTACGGACCAAAAATGGACTTACCAACAGACCAATTGTGAAACTATATCCAATCGAAGTGAATGAGAACGAACTTAAAATACTATCTTCTGATCGAGTGTCAAAAACAAAAGCCAAAGAAAGAATCCGTGAATGGACCTCTTAATTCAGTGATTATGAACTTGTTTTTATTTTAAATTTCAATGAACTGTTAATTTGATTTGAACTTTTTAATATTCTAGTATAATTCATTTCGGTGCCCGGAGTGTCACGGATTATCCGCGGGTTTATGTAACGTACGTTAACGTTATTATTACGTCACAATACTGTACGTTATGTTTCTATAGTTAAACAGAGTCTAAAATAAACCACTATACGATCAAGACGTATTTCTATTTTTTCCACAACAGGTTCAAAGTATTTGATTGTCCAGAATTTATGACTTTCAGCCACTTCGTTTTTACGAGGGTTGCAATATTCCTCTATCTTTTTAAAAACTGTAGCTGGATCATTTTTGTCTTCATGTTGATTCCATGTGAAATGGTCATATATCTTCAATAATTGCTCACCTCCGCAGTTTTTGATGGTAGCAGTCTGAGTTTCTTTATCAAATTGTGCTGTGCCGCTTGCACGTAGATAGATTTCAACTTGACGCTTCCAGGTCTTAAAATTCTCTGAGACATTCCCTGAATGTAAATTAAGTTCAGGTGGAAGTCGAAGGTTTGTGTTCAGATGAACAATCTGAATTTCCTGTTGTTCCTCACCCATCGAGAAAATTCGGGACGTTGTGGGGAACGATTTTGAAGAGTTTTATCCGTGGACCGTCTACACTTATTAGAAGAGTGGCTTGAACGTATTTATCAGAATCGTTAATTCGTAATTACCGCTGCCACCATGTTGACAAGAGGTCCTGTAGGTACAGTTCAAGAGCAAAACTTCAGAGCGGGAACCATGCTTTTAATTGGTTACTAAACAATACTGAGAACCAGTTTACAACATCATATTTAAGATTTGAAATTAATAAGATTGTAAAATAACAAAACGAAATCAAAATAATCAACAAAGTGAGCTAATCCCTGCAAAGAAAGCTAATTCCCAGATTATATCTGTAATCCTCTATATTTGAATTTTACATTGGTATGATATGTGAATGGACTAATCCCTGTCTGTTAGTTAAAAGAGCTAATCCCTGCTTTGAATTCACACTATCTGCATCCTCTATATTTTACATTTGTATCGGTGTAATAAAACAGTTAAAAAAGTATATCATTGCAGGAGTTAGCAAGATTCCAGTTCCCCATGGCCAGGACTTTTTCCTGAGGCGAAGGAAAATGTTTTGGCCTCAGGGAACTGAAATTTTGCTAACTCCTGCAATGATATACTTTAACTGTATATTAGAGCGAGTGCAGCGAACATCGCGAAGCAACGCTTATTACAGAGAAATAGTCCATAAAATGGTTCTCCATTAAAATCAGCCCTGTTCAGGCTTTGATTTGTAAAGCAACATGCATATGTCATGTGACATCAGAGTCCTAGACGTACCAAATGTTACATGCGGTTTGACAAGCCTGATCTAAATGGAAACTGAATAAGTATCTGCGCTCGCCTTAACGGTCGCACCGCCAAACATATTTGTATACATTTTTTAAAGCAAAAAACCTGTGAACCTAGCCAACACAGTTATTTTTAACTTATCAAATTCAATTTAAACCCCAATTGGAAAAATCATATCCAAAAAAGGCATATTTTATTTCCAATACACAACTGTTCCCGACTTGTTATAAAGAAATTAGTTAAATTCTAGACTTTTTAGTAAACAATATGTTGACATAGGATGGTATACACATGAATTCTGGAATGTGGGTTACATTTCCATGATCAAAAACTACTCAGAAAACATTAGTTACCTAGCAATGTTCCAATAACTCTTCTTGCGTCTTCATTCCTTCTTTCAAAGGATTCAATTATGCTAAAAAGCACCACCGGATGAACCCGACACACGAGGTTACCTGCCATCTTGGATGTGTGAAAATAGAAAAAGCTGCACTGCGATTGGTTTAAATAAATCAAAAATTTAATAAATAAAAAATAAATCAACATACAAAATGCAATATTTGCATATTTTTTTAAAAAGACATTTCAAGTAATAAAGAGTTCTTCAAAACTGATTTTTAAAATTTATTTTTATCCAACCACCTGCAAATGTCTTCTACCAAACAAGGAGCACGATGGCTATCATGAACTTCCGGTTTGGATTTTTCACCCAGACAGCGAACATTCTTGAACTCATTTTTAGGGGGTTTTGAGACTATTCAAGAGGAAAAACTTATGTATTTCGATTGATGAAAAATTCAAGGTCTTGATTAAGGGTAAGTGACACCAAAAGTCAACTTCCAACTTATGATTAAGATGGAGAGTCGGTTGCCAGTGTATGGAGATCACTCATTTTCATTTCCATGCATAAAATCATGCGCGCGATAACGCGTTTTTTCGAGGTCATTGTCGGGAAGCAAAAGTTTGTAGAAATTCCGTAGAATATCTTTTATGTATTGACAAATGTAATACGAGCACTGGTCAGTGTATGTTTCCATGCTGAATGTCGAAAGATGCTTACCCCACATGGAGTTTGATTGAAGTGAGAATGTCAATAATTGTGTCGAAAAAATGTAGTCACTAAAATGAACTTTATCAAGAAAATTTATCACTACTTAAATTTTTCAACATGCATTTACATTCACATCAAATGAGAACAACATGTGTGTCGATTGTTTACATTTTTTCAAAATGAAATTAAATTAAAAGGAATGCCAAATTTAAAAAAGAAAATAAATTAACTCATGATTTTTGTTTTTGAAATAGTATCTCTGTTATGAAAGAAATGTAAACTCTGTTCTTACTCTGCTCTGTAAATTTCGAGGTTTTTTTTTTTTTTAACTGGCAAGTTAATGAAAGTGAAAGTACATCATGTGTACATGTAATGCATTTTCATTCAAATTTCACTTACACAACTTTCATATAAAAAAAGGATTGTATGCTATCCTATGTTACAGTGAAAATTAACTGGTATAGAGCTTAAACTCTTATGTAATTAATGCCTTTAACTAATTTTTTTTTACATCATTCTTTAATTAAATCTTTGTGATCATATGGACTGATGTATGTGTATTTCTAAAAAAAGATACTGTGTACATCATAGAGCATAGACTGAATTTAAGAACAGTGATGAGACATGCTCTGTTAGAAAGTACTGAATTATTTTGGCAATTGCAAGAAACTAAACTCATTGTCCATTAGTCTTTTCAAAAAGTACCTGTTTCATGTATATCTATAGCCCATATAGTAAAAAAAAAAAAAACACATTGATTTTATCAATCTAAAGTCTAAAAATGCACTGGAATAATAAATCTGGACCTTACAAAACCTGACACAAATTTTTCAAAAGTTTTTTCTTAAAAAAAAATAAAGATTTTCCGTGTAAAATTTATTAAATGCATTTTTTCATGTAAGTGCAGGTAAGCTTTTAGGCCATAATAAAAATATTCCTAGATTCTCATCCCCACCCGCTCCGATTTTATACCCCCGCCTCGATTTTTTTAATTTCTGTTTTTCTTCGTCTTAATTCTGATCAGGATCGGTATTCATCTACCATTCTATTTTCGTTTTATATCCCGCGAAAGTCGACATGATTTTGACAGCTGAAAAGATGGTAATTGCTGTAATACATGCGTATATATTTTAAACAAGGATCATTGGTTGAAAAAGATTGGTGATGATGTGAAGTAAGAGATAATTGAACCTTTACTATGACTTTTATTCAGGTATTGTAGATAAAATTACACCGATGGACCAGGTCAATAAAAAGTCTGCAAAATTGAAAAAATAAAAAATATAAAAATAAAAGCCGCCCGCCCGCCTCGATTTTTAAAAAAATTCCGATGAGAATCTAGCAATTTATTTATTATGGCCTTATCCAAGATTTTATTACTTTGTTTGTAATTAGGTTTGATGAACATCCTAAGGCACAAGAGCTGACTTTTTGAGCTCTTGTCATATGTATGTCCTATTTTTTAGAGGATTGACTTATGTATGTCCTTTTTTTAAGGATTTGTGAGGATTGACCTATGTCTAGCAGTGAGGAGAGTGAGGATGATAACTGGGGGTTACCAGCCCCCTCCTCGGGGCCCAGGATGGAGAGGTGCCTTCTGGGAAAGACGGAACTCCTCCTTCCAGAGTCCATGTTAGAACAGGTACATCAGCTAGGTCCCACCTATTATGTCACAGTGGTGGGATTTAAAACATTGACATTTTTCTCACTTTTTTGTGAAAATTAACAGATTTTGAAGGGAACTGTAACATCTCCAGCCACAACCTCCATTACTTCTTCATGTTTCTGTGTATGTTCCAGGGCCACATCTTCTTCATGTTTACTCTGTTTCAGGGCCACATTTTTCGAGATGTCTTGAGTATGGATACCTGGAAGAATGTTTTGTCAGAGGAACAAAGGACACACTTAAAAGTTAGTACATGTATATGCAGATTTTTTCTCAAATTACACATGAGGAATGAATAAAATTTGGGTAGTGTAAAATGTACAATGTTGTAATGTTAAAAGAAAATTTGTGAGCCAATATAAATAGTAATCATTTCTAAAATGACTCCTAACTTAACCTCTATATTGATCATTTAATGTGACTCTTTCAGACTCTTTTACCAACATTTCCATCAAACGATGAGGTGGAAAAGGAGGAATCCCTCAAGTAAGAACTTTTTTAGTAACACAAGTCAATCAAAGTAGTTCACTAAGTCAGACACTGAATATAGGTCACAAGTCAATCAAAGTAGCTCACTAAGTCAGACACTGAATATAGGTCACAAGTCAATCAAAGTAGCTCACTAAGTCAGACACTGAATATAGGTCACAAGTCAATCAAAGTAGCTCACTAAGTCACATAGCATTAAAGTAATTTATCACCTGATCATACATAAAAAGGGAATTCTTGCTAGTATGTCATCAGTTTTATTTATTCTTGTTTATGTCTTGTTTTCAGAAAATTATTTGGAAATGAAAACTTCAAGTTCGGAAATCCTCTTTCTCAACTTCAGACAAAAATGAGAGGTGGGTAATCAAATCCATTTAGAGGTCAAATATATTGTTCCTATCATTTAGAAGTATAAAGTGTTGTTCCAAAAATTTAACAGAGTTGAGATGAAAAGTAAAATTTATAATACATGTATGTTTTCGTGTTTTTTTTACATGAGCATACAATTATAATTACAGATGGGTTTTGTTCGCCAGACATTGCAAAGTATTCAAGCTTATGTCGTAACATTAAATATCGGGAGTATAAACACAGACAGCAAAGATACTATTCTACATTGTTGAAGGACATTTTGCTTTCAAGACAGGTCAGTACTATAAAGTATCAACTGAAAGCACTTTCTACATGCCTGGATAAACTAAGATGACTTTAAATTTCTATTTGACTTACTGTAGAAGGCGTACGATGAAATTCAGAAAGTACCACCTGGTGGACAACTGGAATTTACCCACAATCCTCCTGCTAATCCAAAACGTAGTTCTGTGGAGCACAGATCCAAGAAGAAATATGTCAGGTTAATCAACATATTACATTTGTTTTCTCTGCTCCTATTTATCTGTACAAATTTCCTATCTCTACTGATCTTTGTCACATAATACATGTATAAACATGGTTCCTGATTGCTGTGGCAGGTTGATGAGGGAGGCCAGACAGGAGTGTGGAATGGAGGACACCTCATCTGAAGAAGAGGACACCTCAGGTTTGTTTACCTTCTGTCTGTAGATAGAGAGTAATTTTTACAGTCATAAATAACAAATCAATCAGTTTGCTTAAATATTAATATTACTTTCTACTCATATCGCTATATATTACTGAATTTGTTCATTATCCAGTGTCCAACCAGAAGACAAGGAAGCAGCTGTTTAAGTCAGTGCACCCCCTCCCCTCCCCAGAGCCCACTCTACCCAGTGTGGTCCACACCTTCTCACCTAAACCTGTGGTAGTCAATGGAGACATCACAGGTAGGTCTTTTATTTAACTGCTCAGGGTACTTGAGTGCAGTGTTTGTGTGGATGGAATTTATATCTAGGTAACTTGAGTGTAGTGTTTGTGTTAATGGAGTTTATAAATAGGTAACTTTATGTACATTGATTGTTTTTATCATCAGGCTTTGGAGAGGGACAGCAGAAGAGGCAGCGTCCTTTCAGTCCAGTAGAGGTGACTGAGGAGGATTATAAAAATCTGCTGAGGAATTACAAGAGGAAGAAACTGGCTTCAGAGGTAAGTTACTCCAAAGGACCAGTCAGTGAGCTACAGATCTGCCAAGCAAGTCTTGTCAGTGAGCTACAGATCTGCTAAAGCTAGACTTGTCAGTAAGCTACAGATCTGCCAAGCTAGACTTGTCAGTAAGCTACAGATCTGCCAAAGGTAGACTTGTCAGTGAGCTACAGATCTGCTAAAGTTAGACTTGTCAGTGAGCCATAGATCTGCTAAAGTTAGACTTGTCAGTGAGCCATAGATCTGCTAAAGCTAGACTTGTCAGTGAGCTACAGATCTGCTGAAGCTAGACTTGTCAGTGAGCTACAGATCTGCTAAAGCTTGACTTGTCAGTGAGCTACAGATCTGCTAAAGCTAGACTTGTCAATGAGCCACAAATCTGCTAAAGCTTATCTTGTCTGTGAGCTACAGATCTGCTGAAGCTAGACTTGTCAATGAGCTACAGATCTGCTAAAGCTAGACTTGTCAGTGAGCTACAGGTCTACTGAAGTTTGGCTTGTTAGTGAGCTGCAAGCTGTAGATATGAGATTTTTGGAAAAAAAAATTGGAATTCATGCAATAATTGGAAATATAGTACAGCTGTATCACTTTGTCATATTAACTGAACTCAGCAAAAACTAAAATTATATTTTTTGACCAATGGCAAAAGAACATGGGACTTCTCAGTTCTTTTAAGTGCTTGTGAAATCAAATGTAGAGATGCTGTCCAAATATTAAAGAAATATTTTTGGAATACAATTCTTGGAATTTATTACATGTTTATTTTAAGGAGGATCACCCGGAACTAAACACAGATTCCATTACACTTCAAGATATCATGTCACGGTGCCAGGCCACCAGTAGAAGCAGCCCAAAAGAGATAGGTAAAGCAACCTTAAATCTCAGTTATTGCATTTCCTTTGAAGACCAATATTTAAGGAATGAAGCTTATTTCAACTTATGTTATCCGATATAACATAACTTGGGGCAGTTTACGCTTTATAAACCGTGAAGTGGTTTATAAGAAAGCGTAAACTGTCCCAAGTTTTGTTATATCGGATAACATAAGTTGAAATAAGCTTCATTCCTTATAATTTAATTTCAGGGTAGACAATTAGACAATATTTACTCCAGAAAAAGGCTTTAAATTGAACATTATTTTAAAATCAACGTCAAGCGGAGTAATACGTTTTTGACGTAACTCATTGTGACGTAGGCAAGTTATGTTATACAAAATGGATAAAACCGTTTAACCAATCAAATGACGTGTTACAACTAAAATTAAATTATTTGTGAATATTGTTGTTGGTCACAGTAATCTTCAAATGTACATCCATATGAAAATTGCTTCTTCAACATCTTCCTTATGTACCAGTTTTTCACAAAAATTTTGTATTCACCAAACATTTAAATTTTTATTGCCACTAATAGCCCTCAACAGAAAAAAATGATTTCACAGTGGTTATACCCTTGTAGCTTTGAAGATAAAAGAGATATGTGAGAATGATAAAATTCATTACTTTACAGTGTCCACCGATTCCAATTTATCTGTAAATAAGAAGAAGAAAGTAAAACTAAAGGACAAAAGTGAGAAGAAACTGAAGAAGGTTCTGAAGATTAAGAAGGAGGGTCTGGAGTTTTCCTCACAGCCCCTGGTGTACAGTGACGAGGAATCCCTGTCCCCCATAAATCTGGACATCAAAGAGGAGCCCCTCCCTGACATATTCCAACAAGAGTAAGCTTCTGTACTGTGTTACAGTTATGTTGTAAAGTATGCACTGAAAACATTGTTAAATTCATGTACATGTATATGTATATGTGCAGTACAAATGAAACATTGTCAAGGCAATTTGATATTTGGGGAAGGGCTTAAGGCTTATGAAAATATGATTAGTTATAGATTTACAGTAAAACTCGTTTAGTACGAACACGGATAGAGTTATGTCCAAGACACGATGTAGTTACGATATCGACACATTACTTTTTTTATAGTTTCTATAATATTTCTATATTCTCGTGTGTTTATTACATGACTTCCTGTTTTAAGACTATTTCCTTACTGTCAATATCCTCGATATCGTGCCGATATCAAATCATGATTGTTCCAAGAATTGTGGTTTCCATCCTTAATATTGTGTGTTTTACAACTTTTACTTAAACTTTTTTTTATAAATCTTTCCCTGAAGTGTCGATATCGACGATATCGTTTCGATATCGTATCATGTTTGTAAAACCCTTGGTAAATACCTTCCCTGTTACTTTGAATGTGTTTATGTTTATTTACTTTACTTTTACGGAGATTTTACCTGCCGTCGATATCGACAATATCGTATCGATATCGAATTTTGGCATGATAGATTAATTCATGTCAATTTTGCAATTCTTCTGCCCTCCTTCTCCCTTGCTGTTATTGTTAAAAGCATATTACTTTACCAACCTTCACCATAATACAAAAACTTTATTTTTACATCACTTCTGTGTTTAATAAGTTTACCTTACTGTCGATATCGTCGATATCGACGATATCGTATCGATATCGAATCATGATTGTTGAAATATTTTCAAGATTTGTCACCCTAACCAAACACCTTACTCTAAATCTAATCTAAAACAATAACAAACCTAATACTGTCTTAATCATAATTTATTTTCATATTCATGCCAATTATGAATCAATTTTGATTCACTTGTGTCTTTGAAAAATTATGTTATACATCATTATGAAAATAAATTGTGCAAATAAGATTGATATCGATACGATATCGTCATGATATTGTTGATATCGACGACATCTACATAATATAGAGTCTCAAATATGGCACAAGATATTTCCAATTAATAGTGCTCATGACGATCGATATCGATACGATATCGACATAATATTGTCGATATCGTCGATATCGACATCGAATTTGAAAAATAGAATTTTCTGTGAAATTCCTTTAAAACCCTACTCTTTCTACAATTTTGTTCTTGGAATTCACGGATATAGCAAAGTTTTCCTGGGTCCCCAGCAAAATTGTTAACAAATCTTTGTAAAAATTTACGGTTATAACGAACTCTGATACAACGAATTTACGGATATAGCGAACTAATTTTGAGTCCCGTTGAGGTTAAATATAATGAAATTTACATCTTTTATAATGAACTTTCCAAGATTATAAAAAATTTGATAAATTGAACTGACTTTATTTCCTTCTTGCATTTGTATATAAAATTCAATTCATAATAAAACATTAGTTATCGAAGATATGTTTTGTAATATTTGCTTCCCTAACATATTTGGTAGTAATACCTTAAGGAAAACATGCATATTGCGAATTCGCTATAACGGTTATACGAATTCGTTATATGGATATAACGAATTACGGATATAGCGAATTAAATTCACAGGTCCCAAGGACTTTGCTATAATCGAGTTTTACTGTATAATTTATTGGTGGGAGGGAAGACTTGTGCAGTAGGAAACTGTGTTACGGGCATGATAGATTAATTCATGTCAATTTTGGCAATTCTTCTGCCCTCCTTCTCCCTTGCTGTTAGTTTTTCAAACATAAAAGAATGATTTGTGTTTATGAAATTATTTCCAGTAATGCTTTACCAAAGATTCCTGCCTCGTATGGTTTATACACAAACTTCTTCAGTTTACTTCGTGATATGGTGACAGACTTTGAAGACGGGAAAGCCACCACAGCCAAGGTCAGATTCTAACATTACCAGTGATTTTTGATGAGGAATTATTAAAGTCATGGCAGTGTATAATCATTTTGTTGTTTTTTCACAGCTTGAGGAGAAAGTCCGGGAATGGCAGGAGTCCGGTTCAGCGCCTAAGAATGTCTGGTTTTCTTTGATCCCTAGCTGGGTGGACTGTGTTCTTCAGTCACTCAAGTTTCTTGCTGGCGATCTCATAGGTATTTCTATCATAAAATCTGTCGAAACCTCCAAACAATAAAACTTTTTATTTCAGACTGATTCGTAACATGAGCCCACTGATTTTGTGTTTTTTCTCGTTTTAAGATGTGTCTCCCCCCAACTTTGTGCCATACGTAGACTATAAGGAGCGTGCTCAGCAATGGCGGTGGATTGGGGCTGGACGTGACTCGGATGACAATATGGCTGCCTTATTTAAACACTTTATCACGAATCGTAAAGAAGGAACTCGTGACATGTACGATGGAGGACCAGGATCAACCCCACCCCCGCGGAGGTAGGTGTATCCATCAGCCAGTCACAGATTGTGTTGTGGGGGTGAACCTTGAAAGAGTTTTTAATTACTTCTGTTGTTTTTTTATTACTAGTAAAACTGGTTATGTTGTGAAGGCCACAACAGATGAAGAAAAGGCCCAGTTCAGAGAACAGGTATGTCACAGTATTTTGTCTCATATACAGCAAAACTTGTTCAATTTTATGGATGCACCATAATACATGTAGAAGTACATATAATTAATAGAAATAAGATTACCTTTTTATTAGACAAAACATAAAGTAGTTATTGATATTTTAACAGGAGGCGCGCCGGTTTTTGAACCCCCACAAGGCGTTTATGTACAGGATGCATGACTATGAGTCTGTGGTGGGGCCCGTTAAGGGGGTGTACACAAAGGATAACTCCAACAACAAGGCTAGGGAACACGCATTACTTGTCTCCAACAGACCGTCATTTGTCACCATTCTTACACTGGGTAATCATCTCCTTTGTAGCATTATCAATGTATTCCACTGTTGTGTCAATAAGAACTAGAAACCATCTGTTCTGGATTTACAATGTTGTTTCTACTTCACAGTGAGAGACTCGGCAGCCAGACTTCCTAATGGTGAAGGGACTCGCGGGGACATATGTGAGCTTCTCAAAGACTCACAATTTCTAGCTCCAGGGGTTTCAGATGCACAGGTAAATATTTGATTATAAGTCTCCAGGCCGAATTATTTGACTCGTAATGTTTCCATATTGTTATATCATCTTTTCTCCTTGAATTTTTTCACTCAGGGTATTATTAATAGATGTGTGAAAAAAGTTTTTGATAGAGTAAAAAGATTTATAAAAGCCGTTTTTTCCTGCTAGACTCTAACAATGCATGACGTTAAGTTATTTGTAGTCAAGTCTGACTTTAATTCTTAAATTTGGGGATTGAGACAAGTAAAGTAAAATGGGATGAATACAGAATATGTTATTGCTGTTGTCTATTTAAATTCGACAATTCATATCCATGTATAACTTCTTTCCACCTTAAATAAATTTTTGAATTTATAAATACTATGGTAATTCTATGGTATTATCATGTTGACACTAGCATTACATTTCTTGGCGTATTTTTTCTGTAACAGATAAACGTGGTAGTCAGTGGTGCTCTGGATAGATTACACTCGGAGAAAGATCCCTGTGTGAAGTACGACGTCAACCGCAAACTGTGGATTTATCTTCACCGAAGCCGCTCCGAGGAAGAATTTGGTAATTATTTATTTTTGTGTAGAGTGGAGATACTTGAAATGGAGAAAAGTATGGCATAGGGTTAAACCTAAGAAAAGTTTTATAAGTACATGTAAACATACATTGGATAACATGTGCAAAGATTATAAATGAAGAAAATTAAAGGAAGGTAAGTCCACATTGCATCAGGCCTCTGTTATAATATGTAGATTTATTATAATGTATTTTTTCCTGTTGCAGAGAAAATACATCAAGCCCATGGAGCTGCACAGAAAGCCAAAAAGTCCTTACAGAAACCAAAGACACAAAAATCAGTAAGTATTCTTTTTATTGGTCTCCACTTTACTAACTTCAATCATTTATTTTATAAAATTTATGATAAAATTTGCAATGTGGCTTTCTTAAAAATGTATTCACATGGACCTGAGAAACTGTAATATCAATTCTATGTGGCTTGAAACATTCAAAAGGTTTGACAGAGGATACTCTCAGTTTGGATGTTTGGATGGTTTACTGTATGTAGATTTTCATATGAATGTGTTTATAGGGCAAAGTGAAGGATGCGTCTGTGAGCTTATCTACCTCAGTATCCAGTCCAAGTCTAAAATCGGCTCTCAGCTCCGACACACTCAACCTGGAAGACAGTGTGTCACTCAATCCAGCCAGTCCGAGCATCACTCAGAGTCCAAGATCTAGTGAGTGCTTTAATAAAGTCTCAAAGAGTGAATTTATATTTGTTTAAGGTAAAAAATCATCAGATATTTAAAAAATTGCGGAAATACTTGATATCATTAATAATCAGGTAGCCTTTAATGAGTCGTTTAAGTCCTGTGTTTAGAACTGTGGTTCTTATATAAATTATCACATTTGTTAACAAGTGAGTACTCAAGAGATTTGGTCACTTTAGGTAGCAGCCCATTAGTGGGACAGGTTAGTCCTAGAGGCCTGTCCAGTAACAGTCCTAGATCTACAGCTAACCAGGCCACTATAGCGGCCCTGAAGAATGCAGTCAGTGCGGGCACTGTCCCTGGCTCCCAGGGTAACCTCCCCCACTCTCAACCGGCGGCCACCATACGTCTCCATCTACAGCAACAACAACAACAGCTTCAGCAGAAAGCAGCCTCGGGGACGCCCAACAAACCCACAGGTAAACAATCACAAAACATACACCTACATCTACAGCAACAACAGCAGCTCCAGCAGAAAGCAGCCTCGGGGACACCCAACAAACCTACAGGTAAACAATTACAAAACATACTGTACACCTACACCTACAGCAAAAGCAGCAGCTCCAGCAGAAAGCAGCCTCGGGGACGCCCAACAAACCCACAGGTAACAGATCACAAAACCTACACCTACGAGGGGTTTTCAAAAAGTTCGTGGACTAGCGCCATAAAATTAAAACCGCTTAAGGTACATCAATGAATTTTGAAATATCTAGTTAGCATCATCTTTTCTATCCAAAGAATAAACCACAAATCATGAATTTAATTTTTTAATAAATTAGTAATGTTTTTGTAAGCAATGGTATGTCCAGGCGCGCAACCTCGAAAACGACGTTTTTTCGACCTATATGTAACTGAGAAAAACTCCTTTGATATGATTATTTGACATCCAAAAATACCGTTAATTCAGGTATGTGTCAAGACACAATTGTTTTATAAAATATGAAATTTTCACTTCATTCTGGAAGTTCTATGAAATTTTATTTTAAATTTTAGACGGAATGTCCAAACAAATAAGGCCTTGAAAATGACGTCAAAAGGGTTGAGGGGTTTCCGTTTCCAACATTCTATAAAGTTTTGCCCCTGAAAAAAACTAGTATAGACCTAATCAAATCAAATCATGAATATTATTTTTTAATAAATTAGTAATGTTTTTGTAAGCAATGGTATGTCCAGGCGCGCAACCTCGAAAACGACGTTTTTTCGACCTATATGTAACTGAGAAAAACTCCTTTGATATGATTATTTGACATCCAAAAATACCGTTAATTCAGGTATGTGTCGAGACACAATTGTTTTATAAAATATGAAATTTTCACTTCATTCTGGAAGTTCTATGAAATTTTATTTTAAATTTTAGACGGAATGTCCAAACAAATAAGGCCTTGAAAATGACGTCAAAAGGGTTGAGGGGTTTCCGTTTCCAACATTCTATAAAGTTTTGCCCCTGAAAAAAACTAGTATAGACCTAAAATATGTTGAAACTGGCTACAGAGAAATAATATCCAGAGTACTTGTCTTTTAATGTCAAAATAGATTCAGAGAGTAAAGGGATACACAGTTAATGTCGATTTGCAGTCAAGGTGTGAAAAATCAATCCCGTCAAAAATGACGTTGATCATGTGTTGTAGATATTGAACTCCCAAATTAAAGCAAAATATGCCGGCACAATCAAGCGCAGATCTCTCCCGATATATTAATCCATCTGGAATATTATATTCATTGAAGGCCACTGTTCATGACATAGTAAAGTCATATAAATAAGGCTGGTTTAAGTCCTTACTCAGCTCCAGGGAATCTCATCAAAAAAGTGTATGAGGTAGGAGAAGAGGAAATTTAAAAAACAATGACGTTATCGGACGTAATGAAAATAAACGACGACAGCGCCGGGTGATCATATAATGTCGTTTTCATTTTATAATAATTTGGCAAATAACGAACGTATCAGGCTAAATTTTTCAACATTTCTTTATTTTGTGTTGTTTTATGTTCCATATAAATTTTGAAAGCACAGACTACATAGTACTAATTTTATAGCCTCAGTCCACGAATTTTTGATAACCCCTCGAACAGGTAGTAAATCACAAAATCTACACCGAATATTTTGTTTGCAGTAATCATGACTAAGTGCATTGTTGTCCATGCCAAAACTGCTGAAGCCTGCTTTTTAAGTACAGACAATAACATATTTGTTGAAAATTTTAAAAGCAGAAGGCTGAGATTCTTCAGTGGTATGTTTTGATTGTAGGTAAACCTGAGTCTTCCTCTGTGACACTGGGATCCCCCCGTGGAGAGGCCCCTCATGGACTCCCCCAGTCCGTGCCTCTCGGACTTCTACAGAGTCTGAGAGCCGCTAGTCCCAACATCACCCAGAACATCACTAGTGCTCTACGCCAGGAATTACTGGCACAGCGTAAAAATTCCGGCAGCCCAGCTCCTCCCACTACAGTCAGTGCTACAGGGGTCAACAAGGTTGTCGAGAAAGTGGGCGTGGCAGCCCCTCCCTCCAGTACGGTGACCACCACTCCTAGTGCTCAGCTGGTGACTCGTCTGGTGCAGCAGGTGTCGGGGAATCAGATGGTCAATGTCAGTAACCTACTGGCTGCCCAGCGGGTCCAGGGGCCGCGCGGGAATGTACCCACCACTCTCAAGATACAGGGTAGGGAGATGTGTATCAAATTTGTAAGACTTGGTTGTAATAAGTCAAAATACAAAAATAGCTCTTAAAAGGTTAAAAAATAAACATTAAAGGAAAACTTTTTTGAATAGTCTATAATGACACATTTTGACTTGCTAGGTAATTTTACAGCTTGATACACATGTACCAGTAGAGAATAAGGTAGACTAATATTGCTCAGTATTTATTTTCGACAACACTACATGATGCATTACTTTTTAACAGGAGGTAATCTGCTGCAGCCCGTGGGTGGGGGTAAGCCCTTACAGCTGGCTGGAAAGCCTCTGGCCCAGGCCCGGGGGCAGCTGGTACAGATCACAGGTAAAGGAGGGCAGCAGCTGATACAGACCCCTCAAGGTGCCTTACCCATCAGTATCATCCCCCAGGGAGGGGGAGCTGCAGGGGTCATGACCCTTAGTCAGTCAAGGACACCACCAGGTAAAGTAGTACTAAATTTTGTTATGAATAGCATTTGTTGCTATCTGGCTATGGTACATGTATGTTTTTGTCGTCACAACTGTGGAATGAATAATATATTTTGGAGGGATTCAGTTTTTATGGATTTTGTGGATACAGTTACTTCGTTATGCTTGCCCACAAATTATATTTGTAAATTTTTAGCAACTATCTGAAAATTAATCCTTCAAAATTAAAATAATATAAAGTTTTAAAATCCATTTGTACTCTATTTAGTCACCAGTTTGAATATCTTGATATTTTTGTTACAGTACCCTCAGAGCCGCGGGCGGCTGGCAGTCCTACTGTACAAACAATCACTCGTACCTCTCAGGGAAATCCTGCGTCCACCACATCTCAACCCAAGGTTGTCACCCCCTCCCAGGGGGGCATTGTGGTGACACAACTACCCCCAGGCCTGACCATAAGGCCAGGTAACCTCCCCGTCTCCAATCAGGGTAAGGTGGTGCCTGGGGGTCAGACCGGCGGACAAGCTGGGCTTCTGTCACAAATCATTATGCAATCCTCTGGCGTCCTGACTGGAACCAACACCACACATGCACAGAGTAAGTCCCATAATTAGTAAGATACACATTAGTATGTCAAAAGAATTAGCAAGAATTAACTGTCTTAGGATTAGCAGTATATCATGTAAAATCAGGAATCCCAATTTGAAGTCAAACTTCGAGGAAACCCTCATAGTACAAACGGGGGCATCTTATACATGTAATATACGTAGGGAGACAGAATTTAGAAGTTGTCAGTACTGTATAATATATAGTCATATTTTGGTATTTCTAACTCAGCAGGACCAAGATAAACTTCGGAAAATTAGAGTCAAGAGGATTCAAGAAAAAACAAAAAGAAAGAACTGTTGGTTGAGACAGCCAGATCACAATGACAAATCTTATGTTATTAAGATACTGGTGTTTGAGGTAGCAAAGTTAAATTGTATGTTGTGAAGAATATATGTTTTGTTGCCCTTTTCAGGCATTGCTGGTGGTGTACCATTGTTGGTAAGTGGTGGAGGAGGAAAACCAGGACAAAATATACAAGTGGTGCGTACCGTGTTAGGTCAACAGGCCAACCTAAAACCGGGGCAAGCCACAATTCTCATATCCCAACCCACTCTACAATCAAACGCTAATGTGATTCATACAGGACAATTGCTGCAGAGCTCTGCCAAAGCCAAGGCAGTCCCAGGGAAAACACCACCTGTTTATGCAAGAATAATAACACCTCCCCCAGGGCAGAAGTCTGCCCCGGGGGCCAACTCTCCCCAGCCTCAGGCAGCTGTGAGTGTATTACAGACTGTCAATAAACTGATCTCTGTGGCTAATGCAGCAGCAGCACCTGTCTCCCCCCTCTCCTCTCCCGTGGCCAAGGCGAAAACAGACACAACTCAAACCATCACCATAGAAACGCCCTCCGATGGAAACTCATGACACCCCATCTCGAGAGATCTGTGAATATCATATACAGTTAACATTTCATCCACTTCTTATATGCAACCATTCAATGCAATACAGAATATGGTGAAAAAAAAAGTGGAGTGATAAAAATAGTAGAGGCTAAGAGGAATTGATCCATCGTACAATTGATGGAGACTATGTGAAATCGATCGGGGAGAACATATCTTGATTGTATTATCATACTTGTTTGGCCCCAACCCTGATTTAACAGCTTGATTAAAATTTAAATATTATTGTCAACCGTTTTTGATCAGCTCATCTGAAGGTATCTGTATCTTTAAGAGAGGGCCCCTCAAACTCTCACAAAAAAGACATAGATCTATTTCATCAGTATATCCTCACTCACAGTATTCATTATTACTTAATTAAGGTGTCCCTTAAAAGAATGTTCTCTTTAATTCCTAGATAATTCCCTTTGTATCCTAATTCAACTTCTGTAACTTGTTTAACATTGATTTGATGGTTGTGTGAAGTATTAGGAGAGAACATACTATATCCACTGGCTGTCCCAGAGGGGAGGATCCAATATTGTGATATTGTGTAAGGAGAGATAATTATTTTTGAATATTTATTATTAAAGTATACTTTTATAGATATAAGAATGAATTGCCTTTTCTCCTCGTTATATATTTGGTTGTCAAAGTTTACTTGTAGATGCAATAAAGGTTCAGAATGGACACATTTTTATCCGGAACACTTATTTGTACATACATATGTGTAATTAATGAGAAACTGTGACACTTTATTGTTAAGTTTGGATAAAAGAATCTCTTTAGATGAACAATGTAAAATTAAAATCTTAAAATTGTGTATCCTTTGTGGTGTTTTTTGGTATAATACTTGTTTTGCAGAAATAATCAGACAAAACGAACAAAACTTGCAGAGTTGAAACATCTAGGGGTATACATAAATTACCAGACTTTCTTCAGATGCAGGATGAGACTTTTATTTTCTAGATGAGTGGCCAGGTTAAAAATTTAGAATCTAGAACACTTCGTACAAATTGTTATAACTGGGAAGCAGACATGCATTCCTTACTTTTTGTATCTATACTAGTGGAAATGATTCCATTCAGCTATGAAGATACAGTGAACTATAAAAAAAATGCAATCAATATTAATGATACAATTTTGCCTTAAACTGTTTATTATGGAATCCGGATAGGGCCATGCAGTTCACTATCGCACCATCGAGGTTGGGTCAATAGTGCGATAATGTGATGACGATAAAGCGATAGTGATGAGGTGATGGTGCTATAGTGATGACACAATGGTGCCATGATGATGAAGCGATATTCACTCGCTCCATCATGCTATCGCACCATCCTCACCGCACAATCATGTCATGGCTATTGCACCATAGCGCTATCAATTCATCGTACCATCGCATCATCCTCATGGGATTGTCGCGCCATCGCATCATCGTCATCACACCACCGCTTCATCGTTATTGCACCATCACATAACATGCCATCAACCTTTAAGTCGATGCTCAACGGTGCGATAGTGAACTGTATGGCCCTATCCAGATTCCATAGTTTATTCCAGATTCCAGCTGCTTTAGGCTTCTAATTGTTTTTGATATATTTTTTTTAATAAGAGAATAAACTTCAAACAAGCTAATTCAGAGAATTTGTGTGTAGCGATCTATGTGAGCGGATCAAAGGATCTGATTTTAATCAGATTGTGTAGCAATCTATGTGAGCGGATCAAAGGATCTGATTTTAATCAGATTGCGGGCCGTCTCACATGCGAAGCGAGAGACATACCACTATACCACGGAGCCGCTTTAAAACAGCGAAAATTATATACGAACATGAAGTCACATACATGTATATATTCACGTTCGATATATTGTCAAAATTTTACACAATGTATGGTGTCTAATTTAACCTTTATTAAACAGTTCTAATAGATGTAATAAGAATATAAAGTCCGCCGGGAACCTGTTTTATACATCATAAACTCTCCTTCATGCCCCTATGCTAAAAATAGCGAAATGTAATACAATAAATACTAAAAAAACAAACGGGTCGGGACACTTTGAGAGGGGTGAGAGAGGTCATAGGGAGTTTTGGTATAAAATTTCATTGCAAAAGCTCAAAATCCTCTTGATTGATTGCATATTGTTTAACGTCCCTCTCGAGAATTTTTCACACATATGGAGACGTCACCATACGCAAGTGAAGGGCTTCAAATTTTGACCTTTACTCGGCACTCAGGGCCACTGAGCAGTGAGGGATCTTTATCGTGCCAAAGCCTGCCGCTGACATGGGGCCTCGGTTTTTTAGGGCTCATCCGAAGGACCGCAACTTTCACTTCAAAGTGCCGAGCGCATGGCAAAGGAACAGTTGCTACCCATTTTATCGAATAAGTCAGTCGTGGCCGAGATACGAACTCACGACCTCCCGATCACGGAGCCAGCGCTCTACCGACTGAGCTACCGTGAACGGTTTACATCCTCTTGAAATATCGCCCGAAAGGATAGTGTTACACACAAACAGAATGTATACATTTATGACCTTGAACTTTGACCTTTTGACCTCAAAATCAATAGGGTCTTCCTTAGGCCACAGGGAGTTGTTACGTAAAATTTCATTGCAAAAGCTCAAAGGGTTCTCGAGATATCACGCGGAAACGAAAGTGTTATAACAGACAGAATTTGTGAATTTATGACCTTGACCTTTGACCTCAAAATCAATAGGGTTCTTCTTTAGTCCATAGGGAGTTGCTATGCAAAATTTCATTGCAAAAGCTCAAAGTGTTCTCGAGATATCGTGTGGAAATGAAAGCGTTACAGACAGACAGAAAGACGGACGGATGGACGGAAAAACCCAAATTAATATCCCCCACTTTTCAAGCGGGGGACAAAAATAAAAATAGTAGATGGTAGAAAAATAACTTTTATTGATCAGCATAGAGATAAAAATTGTACATACATGTATTATTTAATTGTATAATAGTATAAACTGATATGTTATTTGTGAAAGTGCTTATGGCTATAATACAACAATACATAATGAGATGATCTAGATGACATATAGTGATTCTAATATCGAATTTTTCAATAAATATATGATGAAAAAAAAAAATAAACAAAAGCTACTAAAAAGACATCTCAAACTTAAAGTGTGGCCACTTAAACGTGTGCATGTATTTGAGTCCTACTTCTAACATTTGTACATAATTTAAGAGCTAGTTAATATACACTTTTATTACAAAATAGACCATTCATCACAATAAACCAGACCACTTATACAAATGATTCATCAGAAGGTATTCCATCAGCTACCAATAGTAGTTAGTGAACTTACTACCTACGACAAACTACCTAGATACCATTAATTAATCAACACATGACTAACTACATACATGTAGATACCAACTGATAATTTCTCTGTTACACTTTTTACATATTTTGTACGAATCAGACATCGTTAATCGCAGGCTACTAAAAAGAATTAATCACAGAAGAAAACACGCGGTTCACTTCCAAGATGCCCGAACAAAACTGAAGCGGAAGTGCTAGCGCATTATGGGTATACACATAGTGTATGATACCACAGGGGTGGTCTCAAAAGTTCAGGCAAAATCGTAGGCAGCCCGGGGAAAATGCAAAAAGTTGATGCAGGTAAGTATAGATATTGATGTAAACTAATCAACACATGACTAACTACATACATGTAGATACCAACTGATAATTAGTAAAACCATGACTAACTACACAGGTAGATTCCAATAATTATACTCACCATAACTACTTGTGAAATACTTTCTTCAATGCATGTGTAAATCATGACCAAACTTGACTTGAACAATATATGGTCTACCAAGTCAAGACACAGAAAACTGATTTCTCATGTAAAAAAAAACTTGTGTAAAAAAATATTTCTAATCACAACCTTACATGACAATGTAAAAATCAGCACAACATTCATATACATGAGTCCAATGAAACAGAATGGGTGGAATGTTAGATGAACAGACATGGAATAATCTTAGTTTTTGAACAAAGTAATAGATATATGATGTAAAACAATATATAAAATATACAGGCACTTTTTAATAAAAGGTTTCAATTAGGAGTCGAAGTGTAAATCTTGATCATCTTAGATAGATATTCAATAAAGCAAACATTACAGACCTGCCTACCCTTTTCATTGCAAAGGTGTAATTTCAGTACATACCGTATTTGGTGGAATTTCAGAGGTAAAAGCGTAATCAATCATGTTTTCCTATTTTGTTGTTTTACTATAATACTTTAGTTTCTTTCAAAACAACCGAAATTGTATATTACTAAACAAAGCTGGCATTAACTTTTCTTTTTCGAATCATATATTATCAAAAAAGTGCAGTAAAATATCAGTATCCTATATCAAACTCAATTCAACCGTACACCCTTATTGAAGCATTTAGTCACTTTGTTTCTTATCACTTCATTGAAGGCTTGCTTTTGCATGTTTACACAAATCTTACATGATAACATTGTATTTTATTTATGTAACACTCACATTTCTCTATCTTGTCCTAAGGAATGTGAAAATAAACTAAACTGAGCTTAAAAATAGCTGTATTTATCGCAAATATCATTTAATAGTTAACCTAAGGAGTGCCTTCTCATCTTCATTTGAATATTCAGTAACCAGTTTACATGTACACTAGGTATATTACGTACGTTATTGAATCTCTCCTCTAATAATTACTTTTATTAGAAGAAATTCTCATTTCATTTCAGCAGGTCGTACTTTTAACTCTAAATATATATTCGTTCATGAAGGATTTTAAACCAAAATATCAAAAGTGTAAAATCAATATAAGTGGCGTAATAGTGTAATTTTGTGGTATAACGCAGAAGAATTACGCCAAAACCGGTAGAGTAGGCAGGTCTGCATTCACTGTAAAATCAGATTTGGTATATTGATTGCTGTATTATCAATTACTGCACTGAAGTCAGAGATAGCCTATAAATAGCATATTAAGAAATGTATGCATGTGTTTATATGTTTATACATGTTCCAATTGTAAAATTGTACCCCCCCAAAAAAAATTATACTCTCAGTATTAACCAATTTGTATCATATATAATTATCACAGAATGAAAATAACATGGACAAAATCAATTTACAATAGTAAAAGAGAAAAAATTCAATGAAGAAAAATCCATGACACCACAACTAAACACATAAAGGGCTATAAATGGGTCACAAATAATGCTCACCTTTGTAGCCCTGCTGTTTTTAACACAATTTTTTATTCCCTATTCAAGAAATTTTTTTTTCAACCTTGTAAATATAAGTTTACCAAATGGCAAAGGAAAGACAGACAGATACTATATATAACAGGTGATAAGAAAAGTTTTTTGAGGTTATAGTTTAGAATAGATAATAAAACTTACGAATTGTAACTTCTAAAGTGTGGAATTTAAACTATGGTAAAAATTTTAAGGCTCTGGCCTTAACTAAATCTTGACTTACAAACAAATATTAATGAATCTCTAGTAGCAGTTATTCATGCCTAATATGTATACAGATGGAAAAATACTTTCTGCATTGGGGGGGGGGGTGAACCCTGAAAAAATCCTGGATCTGTCCATAATGACTTAATACATTAAAAATATATTAAAATGTATTCACTAAAGTGATAATCATGTTACCTATTCCTGGTGATTTCATTGTCATAAAACGTTAAACATTATGCATTAATCCAACTGGTTCAACATAAATACTGAGCTTCATCAGTCCCGGCAGGCTGCTATCTCCCCATTATCCTATAGATCAGAGGAAGCGCTGCGAGCAGCAGAGTAAGGCCTGTAGAGGATCTGTATCCCTGAGCATCATTACAATAGTCTGAGTTACACGTACAGATGTAGACAGAAATCCCGTTAAAGTTCCCATCATAGCAGTCATCAGTGGTCTGTGAAATACAGCCGCGAGTTATCTCAACGGTCCTCACTCCATTAATGTCTGAAAAATAAATCAAAATTGTGTCATTCAACATAATTATATAAGAAATGGACAGAATATATGTAGAAAGATAGGTCATTGTCCAAATACCACAATATGGGGCTAATGGTACTTTGTGGAATTAATGAAATGGACCAGAAACAATGGTGGAATACTGAAAGGAGGAAAAATTAAATATAAATAACAAGAGGCCCATGGGCCACATTGCTTACCTGAGTAACTTTGGTCTTGCTGTTCTTAACTAGACAACCCTCCTGTAATACCTTCTGTGACCCCACCCTACCCCCAGGGGTTATGAACAATTGAACAATTTAGAATCTACACTAGATACCACTACCCCAGGATGCTTCCACACAAGTTTCAGCTTACCTGATCCAGTGGTTCTTGAGAAGATTTTTCCTTAATATTTCAATGTAAAATTTGGATTTCCTATTGTGGCCCCACCCTACCCCCAGGGGTTATGAATTGAGAATGGACACTACCCCAGGTCATGCTTCCACAAAAATTTCAAGTTTTTCCGACACACTGGTTCTTGTGAAGATTTTTTAATGACCCACCATATTTTTATCTTTTCTTGATTATCTCCCCTTGGAAGGGAACTTGGCCCTTTATTTGATCAATTTAAACTCCTCTTTACCCAACTGGGGCCAAGGATGCTTAAATTTGTACCAAGTTTGTGTAACAGGAAGGGAAAAAAGTATGGCTGGACCGGGAATCAAACCCAGGACCCCTGTATCTCCAGTCAGGTGCTCTACCAACTGAGCTATCCAGGCTAACATCCACAGCCCAAACCATTACATTTAGATAAAATTGGTCCATCATGATTGGTTCTAATTGAGAAGAAGTCAAAAATGTTAAAAGTTTACAGACGGACGGAGGACAGACAGACAGACGACATACATTGCGTGATTAGGAAAGCTTACATGATCCAGCTTTCAGCTCAGGTGAGCTAGACACACCCTAGCTGCAGATCTGTAGCGTTATGGTTTTATATATTTGTCTTTGACCATAACGCTACAGATCCCGTAGTGCAAAAAAGGTGCAATTTACGGCGCAATATTTTTTGCGCTCTTTTGGGGGGAATTTCTCCACTTTTCAGCATCGTTCAATCAACTACCTTTCAACCCCTAATTCTAGACACATTATTCAATTAATTTGTGTATTTAATCCATCTCCTAACCCTTTATAGTCGTCTCTACAAGTGATAAACTCCCTTGATTAAGATTATTTGTTACTGAAAATTCATATCCAGCGAGTTTATTGCCTGTAGAGACAACTATAAATGGTTGGGAGGTGGATAAACTATACATATTGGCTACAGAATGTGTCTAGAATTAGGGAGTAAAAGGTAGTTGATTGACCAAAGCTAGGAAGTGGAGAAATTCTCCCCAAAAGAGCGCAAAAAATATTGCGCCGTAAATTGCACCTTTTCTGCACTACGGGATCTGTAGCATTATGGCCAAAGACAAATATATATAAAACCATAACGCTACAGATCTGCAGCTAGACACACCCCTCACCTCTTGTGCCCCTTCTTTTGACACAGGTGCCCTGGCACTGTGATGCGTCTGTTGTTGTAAAAGCGAAGGCATCTCCACAGCGTGTGTCGTAAGTCGTGGAACAACTAAAGCATCGAACAAATGCTTCACCTGGAAAACACAATGATATTCACCCTAAGACTGTTTACAAATTTGTTTGCTGTATTACAATTTGTTTGCTGTAGTACAACGTTACAGATTGCCTACTTGCTAAAAAGAAAGTCAGTGTATTCGAGAACAGAGCAGAGGGATCTTTTCATACATTGGACTGTTATGAACAAATATTTCGTAACTTAAAAAACAATTAAGAAGTATACGTACACGACGGTATGAAAATCAGAAGCAATACTTCTTCTAATAACATGACTATTCCTATCTCCCAACACACAAGAGTTCTTCTCAGTTTAGCACGACTTGCACGCGTTTTCCTTTTCAACAGACCTTCAAAATACAATGAGATATTAATTTAAGTAAAAAATTCAAGGTATAAAAGAATTTATTTTGTTAAAGAGCTCGTATTTATAAATGAAGTATATATTGCTATCTTTCTCACAATAATGCGAAGCCTCCGTGGCCTAATGGATAAGGCACCGGCCTCCTAAGCCGGGGATTGCGGGTTCGAGTCCCGTCGGAGGTGGGTTTTTTTTTCTCAGACTTTTTCATCTTATCGACAGCTGCTTCTCGATAAGGAACATGTAAAATTACTTGCCTCGGCATTGGTCATTTTCAAAATTATCTTGATAAAATGTACAATCAACTTCACATGTACTCTGCAGGTTATCAAAAAAGATGCTTGACAATATCTTTGTGGTGTTTAGGATACCAGGTCTTGCAATAATCTATTTGAATTCCCATGGGTACCAAATGTGCCCTGTTACAAACATACTATATACTTTTGTATGAAGCAGGATTTGTTCAAAATCTTATATGTGAAAAGAAGAAAACACTAACTTGAATTGGCCTTCAACTCAACATTTAGATATATTGATGACATATTGTAAATTACTCATTAGGCCCCCGTAAACGAAGTTTCGGGGGTATATAGTTTTTGTCGTGTCCGTCTGTCTCTCTGTCTTTCTGTCTCTAGACATATCTCTGTCTCTCTGTTTGTCCGCAAAAACTTTAACATTGTCCATAACTTTTTAGTAGAGCTGTGACTTTCATATTTCACATGTGTATTCTTTGTGACAAGACCTTTCTTTGGGTACCACCAAATTTGACCTTTTGACCTTGAACTTGGAATTTGACCCACTTTTACACCAAGAATTCAAATTTTTACTTTGACCATAACTTTTTAACAGTAGATACCAGGACATTTATACTTCACATGTATATTTTTTGTGGCAAGATCTTTTACTGGATACAACCAATCTTGACCTTTTGACCTTGGAGATTTACGTAATCACGAAAAAACTTTAACCTTGGCAATAACTTTTGAATGGTAAGGGCTAGAGCTTTCATACTTCACAAATGTAATCCTTGTAAGAAGACACTTCATTGGATACTAAGAGCGTTGACCTTTGACCTTGGAGTTTGACCTACTTTTAAAAAATAAACCTTGATCATATCTTTTAAAGGGTAAGAGCTAGTGCTTTCATACTTTACATATTTAATTCTTGTGACAAGACCTTTCATTTGATATAAGACCTTTGACCCTTTGACCTTAGAGTTTGACCTACTTTTAAAAAATCTTAACCTTGGCCTTAACTTTTGAACGGTTAGGGCTAGAGCTTCCATACTTCACATATATATTCGTTGGAGCAAGAGCATTTATACCAATAACCTTGACCTTTTGACCTTGGAGATATCTGGACTGATGAAACAAGAGGCCCATGGGCCACATCGCTCACCTGAGAATCTTTGACCATTCTGTTTTTTACCAGATTTCCCCCTTGTAATACATATTGTGACCCCACCCTACCCCAATGATCATAATTTAAACAATTTGAAATCTACACTACCTCAGGATGCTTCCACATTAGTTTGAGCTTTTCTGGCCCAGTGGTTCATGAGAAGAAGATTTTCAAAGATTTTTCCTATATATTTCTATGTAAAACATTGATTCCCCATTGTGACCCCGCCCTACCCCCGGGGGTCATGATTTGAACAATTTACAATCTACACTAAAACAGGGTGCTTCCATATAAGTTTGAGCTTTTCTGGCCCAGTGGTTCATGAGAAGAAGATTTTCAAAGATTTTTCCTATATATTTCTATGTAAAACATTGATTCCCCATTGTGACCCCGCCCTACCCCCGGGGGTCATGATTTGAACAATTTACAATCTACACTACCACAGGGTGCTTCCATATAAGTTTCAGCTTTTCTGGCCCAGTGGTTCATGAGAAGAAGATTTTCAAAGATTTTTCCTATATATTTCTATGTAAAACTTTGATTCCCCATTGTGACCCCGCCCTACCCCCGAGGGTCATGATTTGTACAATTTATAATCTACACTACCCCAGGGTGCTTCTACATAAGTTTCAGCTTTTCTGGTCCAGTGGTTCTTGAGAAGAAGATTTTTAAAGATTTTTTCTATATATTTCTATGTAAAACTTTGATTCCCCAATGTGGCCCCGCCCAATCCCCAGGGGTCATGGTTTGTATAATTTAGAATCTACACTATCCCAGGATGCTTCCACATAAGTTTCAGCTTTTCTTGCCCAGTGGTTCTTGAGAATAAGATTTTTAAAGATTTTTCCTATATACTTCTATGTAAAACTTTGATTCCTCATTGTGGCCCCGCCCAACCCCAGGTGGGGTCATGATTTGAACAATTTAGAATCCACGCTACCCCAGGATGCTTCCACATAAGTTTCAGCTTTATCGGCCCAGTTGTTCTTGAGAAGAAGACTTTTTTAATGACCCCACCCTATTTTTGTATTTTCTTGATTATCTCCCCTTGTGAGGGGACCTGGCCCTTCATTTTAATAATTTAAATTCCCCTTCCCCCAAGGATGCTTTGTACCAAGTTTGGTCAAAATTGGCCCAGTGGTTCTTGAGAAGAAGTCGAAAATGTGAAAAGTTTACAAAATAAACGGACAGACAGAGCTCAGACGGACAGACGGACGACGGACAAAATGTGATCAGAAAAGCTCACTTGAGCCTTCGGCTCAGGTGAGCTAAAACATTAACCTTGGCAATAATTTTTGAAGAGTAAGGGCTAGGGTTTCTATACTTCAAAACATGTGATCTTTGTGGAAATAATAACAATAATCTTGACCTTCTGACCTTGATCTTGAAGATTTCTGTACTTATGAAAAAACTTTAGCCTTGCGATAACTTGGGAACAAATGGTGATAGGGCTTTCATGTTTTACAATTGTATTTCCAGTTAGGAGACCCTACTTTGGGTACCAATATATTAAATTTGCATCTAAGAAAAGTTCAATCTTCACAATGTTGCCTTACGGGGGCATCAGTGTTTCACAAACACATCTTGTTCTTTATGTTATTGACAAAAAGCTCATGAAACCTACTATTTCGGCAGTCTAGTTTAGTACAATTCTCAGTAAAGCTTGGACTTCCAGTAGGGTACGTGCGACTTTCTCAACACTACGTAATTAGCATCTCTCAAATGACGAATAGATTCTCATTGGTTAAGAAATTAATAACATCAGTAACTTTAAATTGTTGTTGACAACGATGAGAAGACTAAAAGCCCCACATCTTTGCCGTTAAATTTAAAACGCTATCATTGGATCATTGCTACACTCATTGACATTTGCCCAAATGTATATTTCAACAGTGAATGAAAGGACGTGTAATAATTTTAGACGCTAACTATGTAACGTCAAGGATACCACACTTTACTGAAAGTCCAAGGATAAAACAGAATATGAGAATTGTACTAAAGTCATCTTTTGTAAGTCGTAGGGTAGAGTCACCTTCAAGTTCAACATATCATATGTTGCCCGATTCCCAGTCTTGCAAATTCATTTACCAATATCATATACCATAGTAAATCTACAAATTCCTAAACTTGATTCACCGTGTATATGATGTTCTCAACATACGGGGTGTATACTGTAGTATGTTGTACGCAGGGTGTAGGCTTTCAAAGCGAAAGATAGGGGGTCACGTTAGGGTACCTTTTTTGCCCATTTTCTAAACTTACGGATATTTTTCGCCAGAAAGCATGTGCCTATGGAACAAAAAATTATCTAAGGAGTATATGGAAACCTATGAATCCACTGCACACTTTCTATTTTTATCAAACACCTCAACACAATTCCGAATATCAGAGCAAGCTTGATACAACACTGTGTTCATGATCAAATATTTACATCCACTGAATAATTTCTCCTTTATTTCTTATTACTAGTAGTCTTTTTTCCTTCAACCTATTTCAGAACAAGATTTTTTGTTTATAAATGAGCATTCTTAAAAAAAATAATTTGAACGAAACGTTTGACAGATTGATACTCAGGATTTGAGTAGTTAGTACATCTATCAAAATATGTATTTCATTGACCATCGCATGTACATGTGCAAGTTCTGAGGGACGCATGATCCATGAATATATTATATTTTACGATAATTTTCATTATATATGACTTTTATATCATGAATAATGCTTTTTATGTCTGATTTATATCGAATCAAGGTTATTTGCTTGACATTTATTTTCCGTTTTCCGTTCCGTTCCGCTTTCCGTTCCGCGTTTTAGCAACACCCAAAACTGTTGGAGTAGTGTTTTAAAGGAATTTTAAAGAAATTTCTATTTTTAGTAACCATGGCAACGTCATTCATCAAAATCAAAAACCAATGCACTAAATTATGTATCTTTCTAGTGTAGTCTACTTGTGAGCAAAGTAATATTGAAATCAGAAGAAAACTGTAGGAGGTGTAGAGTTTTAAGGAAATTTCACAGAAATTTCTATTTTTAGTAACCATGGCAACACTGTTGATTGAAATCCAAAAATTATATATTAATTTATGTATCTTAGTGTAGTCTACTTGTGTGCCAAGTTATATTAGCATTTTGAAAAATTGTTTACAGACAGACAGAGAGCTAGACAATGGACGACGTAGGCATTACTATCGCATAAGCTCTTCTGATATCTGACCAGCAGAGCTAACAATCAATGTTGTACCAGGTGTGTATGCGGGGTTTACATGCATTTTAGGCCTCCTTAGCTCCTGACCTATTGCTTGGCAAAATTTACATTCAAGTAGAATGATCAAGAAATCAACTCAACTAATTTCTAGAGTTATCTCAGAGAAAACAGAAAGAAATGGAAATATTTGAATATAACTTATCATAAGCTTCGGGGTTTTTGTGAACATTTAAATAATTTTTTTTTATCTATTTAACCCCTATTTTTGCCCACACTTATCCCTTGGGGCCATGATTTTTAATCTGCACTAAGGATGTCTGCATATTAAAATGATTATCACATTTCTGCTGTTTAGAGGATTTTCAAGGATTTATTTCTCTTTATGATCATTTATTAAATATTTTGTATTTTTTTTACTCATTCTTAACAAACAAAACTAGCTGCAGATCTGTAACGTTACGGTTTTATATATTATTTGGTCAACCATAACCATAACGCTACAGATCTGCAGCTAAAACAAAACATGAATTAGATCAAATAAAAATATAAAACAATTAATTAAACAAGAGGCCCATGAACCACATCGCTCACCTGAGTAACTTAGGTGATGCAGTTCTTTTTTGCTAATACCAATCATGCCCCCCCCCCCCACATCCTCCCCTTTCATGATTTTAATACTTTAGAATTTACACTACCCCAGGATGCTTTCACATAAGTTTCAGCTTTCCTGGCCCAGTGGTTTTTGAGAAGAAGATTCTTAAAAGATTTTTCCTAAATACAGTGTATATCTATGTAAAACTTGGATTCCCTATTGTGGCCCCGCCCTACCCCAGGGGTCAAGATTTTAACAATTTAATATCTACTCTACCCAAAGATGCTTCCACATATTTTTCAGCTTTCCTGGCCCAGTGGTTCTTGAGAAGAAGATTTTTAAAGATTTGTTCTATATATTTCTATGTAAAACTTGGATTCCCTATTGTGGCCCCGCCCTATCCAAGGGGGTCATGATTTTTACAATTTAATATCTACACTACCCAAGGATCCTTTTACATAAGTTTCAGCTTTCCTGGCCCTGTGGTTCTTGAGAAGAAGATTTTTTAATGATCCCACCCTATTTTTGTATTTTCTTGATTATCTCCCCTTGTAAGGGGACTTGGCCCTTCATTTTAACAATTTAAACTTCCCTTTACCTAAGGATGCTTTGTACCAAGTTTGGTTAAAATTGGCCTGTTGGTTCTTGAGAAGAAGTTGAAAATGTGAAAAGTTTACGGACGGACGGACGACGGACAAAATTCGATCAGAAAAGCTCACTTGAGCCTTCCGCTCAGGTGAGCCAAAAACAATTTATTGCTTGGCTCTTTAAAAACTACATCTGGACTTGAGGATTCTGTTTGGTAGTGACATATACTGTGATACATGGCTTAATGACTCTATGAATGTCCATCACCACCATTTCCACTTCTGAGAATATTTTTTATGTGTTATATCATATTCTATCTAATCAGCTGGGTCATTCATCCAAGCCATTATATTCTCACTTTTCTGATAATATTTCTCCTCTTCTGAAGAAAGGTCTTTTCTGCGTTTTCCACTGTGATTATCATTTTCTTCCTCTGAAGAAAGTTCTTTTTTGCGTTTTCCTTTTTTGTGAATTCCACTGAGATGACTATTTTCCTCTTTGTTTAAAAGGTCCTTTTTGCATTTTCCACTGCCATGAACATTTTCAACTTGTAAGGAAAGTCCTCTTTCTCTTTTTCCACTATGGTGATTATTTTCCTCTTCTGAGCTGAGTTCTTTTTTGCGTTCCCTGCTGTTACTCTCTTTATCTCCTTCGTCGGAAGAATCACTTTCACTTTCTGATGCTCTTTTCTGTACATTGTATGCTGAAGGGTGAATCTTGAAACCAAATAACCTGAAAACATAACCAGTTTTCAAGGATTTGTAGTAAAACAATATAGCAGGTTTTCTTGGCTGGTGTAAAATTTAGCATTTTGTCTGCTTAAAGGTATGCCAATAATTTTAGCTTAATTTATTTTAGTGGACACCGGGTTTCAGCTCTTTCCAGAGAGACACTAAAATGAGTCATATTATGAGTACTTAATATTTTAGCCATGAAAATTCAAATGCGAAAATAAGCCAAAATTAGCACCCCGCTGAAATAATCTGCTATACAGTAATAATTGTGACAAAGTTATTATCTTAAAATGCGAAGAGTTCTCTCTACATACCTTTGCAAACTTTACAACAATGTTGAACATTCTTATTTGAATCTTTCAATCTGTCTGTTTATAACATTTAAATTTACAGATTATATCTTATTGCTTTTTAATAAACTTTAATTCTAGTATCTGAACATATTGTAACTTAAAGAAGACCGGGTCCTTTTGTTTTTTTTGTCAAAGGTCAAGATAAAAGGTCAGGCCATCCTTAAAAAATTGCTTGTTTGGAATTGCCGGGTCCTTTTGTTTTTTTTGTCAAAGGTTTTGTAGTAATGAGCAAAAAAAAATTGATTAAATAAAAAAAATCTTCCTACTTTTGGTCAAAAGGTCAGGATAAAATGTTCCATAAATTGTATGAAATAGTTTTCAGAAAGTAAATATCTGACTTTTGCATATAATTACTTTAGTAGTCTTTAAGCTGAAGCAATAAAACTTGGTGAATAACTCCAATCGAAGAAAGATATCTTCTGATTTTAAGGACAAGTGGTTAAAGATTAAGGTTAAATTTGTTCTTTTTCCTTCTTATATTTTTCGGCATTCCATCCTTTTAAATTTCCCTTAAAACAGAGGGCTAAATCTCTCTGAACCAGCTTGACTTGTTTAACATATAAATTCAAAAGGTTATGATGTATTGAAAATGAAATTATTTCAAAAAATCTTTTGAATTAATTATGGTGATAAATGGCATTATTTATGCTTTTCTGACATTTCTACTGACAGTTAAATAACTTTTTAGTCTCCCAACCTTGCTCCACTTTGGTTGGTTAACATTTTAGTGCCCCTAGCTTGCTCCACTATGACTGGTTAACATTTAGTGCCCCCAGCTTCCTCCACTCTGATTGGTTAACATTAAGTGCCCCAAGCTTGCTCCACTCTGATTGTTTTACATTTTAGTCCCCCTACCTTGCTCCACCTTGATTGGTTAACATTTTAGTCCCCCTACCTTGCTCCATTATTAAACCCATGTATTTCCTCATCTATTCAATTAGTAAATAGATCTTATTTCTGATATATAAATAATAATATGGTGGACTTTTCACTTCAAAATTTTAAAAATATTATTCAAAGAAATAATGACTTACTGTATACAGGGTTATTTTCGCCCCGTCTTATTTTCCCTCTTTCCCACTTCCAAACAATTCTGCCCTGTTTTAAATTCGCCCAGTCACAGTTTTGTTTGAGAAATTATACTGTATTCTTTGAATTCGCCCCATTTTAAATTCGCCCAAATGAGAGTAGGGCGAAAGGGGCAAAAATAAAACGGGGGCGAAAATTTCCCTGTATACAGTATTAATATTTTGTCCGTTATTGATGACAGAATGGCAGAAGCCTGAATATTTATATCCAGTGAATATTATCTCCCTTATTTCTTAAAAAAACGTTGCGTATCAGTCTGTAAACAGGACTAAGCCTTACCTTGGTACAAACTGATTGGGGGGATGTTTGGGTCTGTACTCTGGGTGAACCATAAACAACATGTGGGGGAAGCCCGTCCCGAAGTAAGCGCCGTCAGTGTGGTGGTGCCGGGAGGATTTGGGGGTGTACACCTTCTGACATTTAGGGCAGTACAACTTCACCATGGCCTCTCCAGGGACGTCCGACAAGCCTGTCAAAGCAAAGCAATACTCTGAATTACACGTATCCAAACAATCTCAAACGAAGGCTTAAAGCCTGTCAGCAAAGTAAAGCAATACTCTGAATGACATGTATCCAATCAATTTAAAACGACGGCTTAAAGCCTGACAGCAAAGTAAAGTAATAATCTGAATGACACGTATCCAAACAATCTCAAATGACGGCTTAAAGCCTGTCAGCAATGTAAAGTAATACTATGAATGACATGTATTTACGCGGGTTATGTATTTTTTCTGCAACAGCTGCTTCCGTTAATTCCAGTAATAACAAACAAAGAAAGCATTTTATTGTTTAAATAAAGACATCAGACAGTCCTGTCAGTAATGTAAAGTAACAATATAAAGACAGACAGTCCTGTCAGTAATGTAAAGTAACAATATAAAGACAGACAGTCCTGTCTGACAGTAATGTTAAGTAACAATATAAATGGAGGTGGATTTAAACGTTTTTTTGTGGGGGGGGAGGGGCAGAGAGTTTACAGCCAATATTTATTTATTCTATATCCACTTACCGATTGGAAGCATGGCTTGTTTTTCACAGTACAGCCGTGGGCATGTGTTAAAATATCCCTTATTGGATTTGTAAATCTAAATATGAAGATTCACAGTAAATATGAAGTCAGTGGTCACCTATATTCTTAATTTTTTTCAATCATCATTTTTTAATGTCAGGTGATAATTTAATTATTTCATACTCACCATTTCACGCATTCCCTTTTTTGTCAAGATGAACCTAGCATGGATTAAACCGTATAACAACTGAGCTGCCTCTTCAATTGGACCGTCTTCTTCGGAACTCTCAGAATCATTTTCATCAGAATCATCATCTGTGGCCAAAAGAAAGTACACTGTATAATATGGATAAACAACAGGCCTATGGGATTTTTTCAGGTAACTACATTAACCCAACCTAGAACTATAACTCTTGTATCAGAGGAAGAGAAAATAGGTCATAATGCACACTGCACAGCCCAGATCACCTGCTGTTCTTCAGGAAGATTTTTAAAGGATTTTTTCCTTCATTATTCCCATGAAAACCAGAAGTCTCTGTCGAGACTGAAGCTCTACTGGTTTGTACTTATAGCAAAAGAAGAGAAAAGTACTTAAGCAGTTGGGAATTGAAACTTTACAACAGCAATAAATAGAATAATGATCCTTGAAAAAGTTTCTTATGTTCTTAGTGTAGTCTACTTGTTTGCAGTTATATTGTAATCAGACCAAAACTGTAGGAGGAGAAGCATTTTGAAAGAATTTCACAGAAATTTCTAGTTTTAGTAACACGACAACACCGTTCATCGAAATCAAAAACCATTAAACAGAATTATGTATCTTAGTGTAGTCTACTTGTGTGCCAAGTTATATTGAAATCAGACTAAAACTGTAGGAGGGGTAGCATTTTGAAAGAATTTCACAGAAATTTCTATTTTTAGTAACCATGGCAACACCGTTCATCGAAATAAAAAACTAATAAATAGAATTATGTGTCTTGGTGTAAGCTACTTGTGTGCTAAGTTATACTGAAGTCAGACTAAAACTGTAGGAGGAGTAGCACTTTGAAAGAAATTTCACAGAAATTTCTATTTTTAGTAACCACGGCAACACTGTTGAACGAAATCAAAAACTGATAAACAGAATTATGTATCTCAGTGTAGTCTACTTGTGTGCCAAGTTATATTGAAATTAGACCAAAACTGTAGGAGGAGTAGCATTTTGAAAAATTGTTTACAGACAGACGGACAGACAGACAGACAGACGGACGGACGACGGACGCATTACTATCGCATAAGCTCTTCTGGTCTCTGACCAGTAGAGCTAAAAATTGACTTTGTATTGTGGAGCCAATTTAGCACAAAGAGATAATAATTCAACTGAATTTAAATCCACACATTATGGGAAATGTTTCAACATAACTACTGTGGGCACTTGCTGTACTACAGAAAAAAAATCTTCCTGTATACCGGTACATGCACTGTGTAGACTATCTTGAATCTTGATACCCATTACCTTCTGGTTTACTCAGAATCCTTTCTAAAGCTTGCCGGTAGTGAGGAACTTGTTTTCGGAGTCCTTTCAAGTTAGTTTGGTCTCGTATGTAGGCTCTGTCTACCTGTATCAATACAAAACAAGATGGGTTTGTGAAACACTGATGCCCCTGTATAGCAGCCTATGGCGAAGGTTGACTTTTCTAAAATGCGTAATATTGAATGTCATGCTCCAAAGGTCAAAAGTGTCATTACCCAAAGGAAGGTCTTGTTGCAATACACCTGTGAAATATGAAAGCCCTAGTTCTAACTGCTCAAAACTTATGGCAAAGGTTAAAGTTTTTCAAACTCTTAGGTCAAGGTCAAAGGATAAAAAATATTTATAATCACTCAAAGGTCAAGTTATTGCCAAATTTAAAGAGAAGTATTTTTTATAAATGTAAGTAAACTCAAAGGTCAAGATTTCAAATATGGTGGTACTTAAGGAAAGGTCTTTCCCTAAGGGATACATCTGTGAACAATGAAAGACATAGCCCCACACACAAAGTTATGGGTAAGGTTCAAGTTTTTGAGGACAGGCAGACGGATGGACAGGGCAAAAACTATATACCCCTTAAACTTTGTTTACTGGGACACAGTTTAGGGGGCATAAAATGTCCTGTTTAATATGACAAAAGGCCAATGGGCTACAACGCTCACATGAGTAACTGACCATGTTGTTCTTCATACAATTTTCCTCCTTGTAATACTTATTGCATCCCAAAACAACCCAGTCATAATTTGAACAGTTTTGAATCAACACCATCCTAGGTTGCTTCAACTTCAGTTTTAACTTTTCTGGCCCGAAGGTTCTTTAAAAGAAGATTTTTCCTACACATTTCAATGTTAAAACTTAGTTTCCTATTATGGCATCACCATATTCCCATGGGTCATGATTTGAATAATTTAGAATCTACATTACCCAAGGATGCTTCCACATAATTTACTGCTTTTCTGGCCAAGTAGTTTTTAATTTTTTTTTTAGACCCCACCTTATTTTTGTTTTTACTGATTACTTCTCCTTGAAAGGTAGCTGCAATAATGTAGCCCTCTCCCCCTTTTTTTTTTTTCTGGGAGAGGACTACATCTCCTTAGGTTCTCCGTAATGGTGCAATGCGGCAGCGATTCACTCCTGCACGGATTTCGGCTCAAATTGTCAGTAAATGGCTATTTTATTAATATGTCTTACCTGGACTCCCAAAATGTAGTTATCCCAGACATAAATCGATCCAAAAATATACATAACAATCCATATATCCGTATTTTTCGTGTATGTCAACATCACAACTTAAATTTATCCACCATGTTTACTGACCTTGACAGATTTTATTTTGAGACAGCCAATGAGATGAAGGATCTATAGGGAGCGGATTTCTTTGGAATTAGGCCATTCCAAGTTTTTTCTCTGTTTAGCGTCCACCCATCTTTCAAAACCCAACCTACCTATTTGCAAAAAACATACGAGCCAAAACATATAACACAGGCTTAAAAGTCATAAAAATGACGCCCTTCAAATGATTTGATCTAACTAAACTGCTTTTAATTAATGGAAGAAATATCTATTCTTAAGCAAAAACAAGGGATTAAATGCTTAAAATACACCCAATATAACTTACTGTTTAGAATTATTTTGAAAAACTGACAAAATTCAAAAATTTCTACTAAATTAATCAATTTCAGGATTCCTGATGTTGTGTATTTTTTCTTATATGGGGTGTCAAAAACCAAGGCGCACGCGGATGCTAAACACAGAAAAAACTTGGAATGGCCTTACCTTATTTTAAGCCTGAATATCGCTGTTTACGAAAAAAATAACACATGGAATAATTTTCTTTATCGATGTTTAGTATTACTATTCTTCACAATTATTTATTAACATTGACATTTGCTTTATTAGGTTATTCTAAATTTCAAGCGCAAGTCTCGGTCACGCATGAACTGTCATGGCTGCTGAAAAAGGCACACAGATTTATTTTACATGGTTTTCGCGTTTAACAGGCTATGATGTCGACAGTGAAAAAAAATTTCGTCTAATTAGAAGTAAGTTGAATGTAAAAACAATTTATTCTGCCTGCAGTCGGCCGTATTTAAAAAATATTTTTGCACCATTACTGAGATGCTGTGGAATTAGCCCTCTCCAGAAAACATCAGATAAAAAAAATCGGAGAGGGCTACATTATTGCAGCTACTTGAAAGGGTGTTTGGCCCTTCATTTTTTAAAACAATTTAAAGGCCGGGGCCCGGATATAAAAGGCAGCCAATCGAAAAATGTTGGGGAAATTCAACTTTCTATGCAGCTTTCAGATTTGAGAAGCATTTTTGAGAAAATATGCTTTTTTTGATCATATTAAATTCTAATTTTTGGCATGGAAGCAGCCACCTTGATTGTGAATAAAGTGTCCATCTTTCATAGTTGAAAAAAAATTATATCTTGAGTAATTTAGGAATAAAGTTCTGAAGCTGCACTGAATTTTGAATTTCTTCTCAGTGATTGACAAAGTAGGCGGAGATAACCAGTGTTTTGTTTACACAGGAAGTGGCTGTAGCCATGTGCTGCAGCACATGCTCTGCGTGGTATTACTATACTATAAATAGTTTTCACTAGTGATTTTTATAATTTATAGAGAAAAAATGACTGAAAAACATTTTATTTTGTCAATGAATGGTAAATACACAGGTTTTGAAAAATAAACACACATGTACAGTAACTGTATTAATATTTTTTCATACAAACCTTAGGTGAACAAGTGATAAGATAGCTCAACTAATATATTTAAGTATATTCCAGTCACTTAATTATATGAAAATAAAATATTCACAAGTCAAAAGAAATATTTTAACACAGGTTTGAATTCCTAATCACTCCCACATATGTCCCATGTATGGATGATCATTGGGATTAGGTAGCCAATGTCTCACAACGGTCACAACACATTTTGGCATAAGGTCCCTCCTGTGATAAATGTAATTTTTTCTCCGCGGATCCTGTCGTAGGGCATTTCTTTTCCTCTGAATATATCTCGGATCCTTCCATACATTTCTATGGAACAACATAGTCCAGAATCTTTTGTATTTGTCCTTTCTCCTCTGAGAATTACTTCTGTTTGGTGCCTCCGGATCCTCTAACCACCACATTTGTCGGTTGTTTTCCGATGTTATGCATGGACGGCAAAGACAGTGGATACATTCATCTTCTTCATCGTTCTGATCTATAACAAAATCAGCAACATCATCATTGTTCTGCTCCTCCTGGACCTGGTTTCCATTGTCTTCAATTGGAACCTCATTGAATTGCCACTCATGGTGTGCAAATAGATGGCGTATTGTTTCTCTCTGAGTTTCTGTGACTTCAATGGCTAAAATAGATTTCTCTTCCCAGCAGGCACGCAACGTTGTTTCAACGTTGAAAGGAGGTGGAATATAGGTTGCAACGTTGATCAACTATATTTCAACGTTGTTTCAACGTTGAGGTTTCAACGTTGAATCCTCAACCTTTCTTCAACGTTGAAACAACGTTGAAGCTGCAACATATTTTCAACGTTGAATGTTCGTCGATATTTCAACGTTGAAACAACGTTGAGGCTGCAACATATTTTCAACGTTGAATGTTCGTCGATATTTCAACGTTGAAACAACGTTGAAGCTGCAACATATTCTCAACGTTGAATGTACGTCGATATTTCAACGTAGAAACAACGTTGAAGCTGCAACATATTTTCAACGTTGAATGCTCATCGATATTCAACGTTGAATCAACGTTGAAGATTCAACATGTTTTCAACGTTCAGTATTCTCTGATATTGTAGAGTTAAAACAAGGTTTAAAAATGCAAAGTTGACTGTCTTGATTTCAACGTTAAAACAATGGAAGATGCAACATATTATCAACTTCAGAAAAGTTAGGAAAATCTAACGTTGAAACAACGGGTAACAAATATTGAGCACTTTAGTTTTTAAGTTCAAAATATAAAGGGGTCTTTAATTTCTAATTTATGGAATTTTTTCGCAATATACACACAGCTGTATGCATTGTTAGAAAATATTATATATATAATAATTATACTCAATAAATGAAACGCATGCATTTTAAATTGATTTACTCAAAGAGTTGTGCCAATAGCTAGTACCATTGTAAAATTTAAAATATATTAGTTTATATGAAGCATGGCATCTACATTTAACACTTCATTATAATTATTTTTCAAAAAAGGTAATTTTTTTTTAATAAATTGTGAATGCTTTTTTATTTTGACACATTTAAAAAATATGTTACATATAAGCTTTTAATAAATAATAACATCTTTATCCAACATCTCACTGTAATTCCCAGTTAATTTAGAATTATAAAAAATAATTATTCCGAATTAATGTTCTTAAAATTAGACTCATATTGATTCGTGCCGTGTACTCTTGCGCAGATTATACGTATACAGAGCGAATCAAAGAAGTCTTATTTTATTAGATTGTGCTTTTGTTGTGTGTATTAATTTTATAATCTTTCTTTTCACAAAATATTTTTTAAAAAGTCAAATAAACACATAAGAATTTTCACACTGACAATTAACCCCGGACAAGTTACATTACTTAAGATCCACTTCCCAAAAAACCTTCGAAATATCAGATAAGGAGTGCCTTTCGCTTAGTTGGTCAGTTTCAGTGTCAGGATAACTTTGTTATGCAATTTTCTTGCTGGGCAGAGTATAGCTGTTGCAGCTTATCTAGGTCAAAATTTGAATTCAACTGATGAACAAGAAGTGCGCGTCTCCTTGCCGGTCATATTTAATGTGTTTTTCAAGCTTTATACACAAGGATTAAAGCTGGAATATCAACTTCTGCTCAGTAAGTATTATTTCCTTTTCATGAATTTAAGAAATTAAGTTTTTTTTGTATCTGTTCATCATTTAATTCTTGTTTAATAAGTATATTTGAAATCTGCGTGAAATGCACATCCTTGGTTCTTGTATTATGTGTTTTTTTTATATTCATTTGGTTATGAAATATAAGCTAGTATACTAATATATTATACAATTAAACTAATTGTAGTTTGTCGTAAGGTTCAATCAACCAGTGGTGCAGGGAATTGATTGTATAGTCTGATAGTCAGCCTTGATTGCATCAGATTCTTCGCCCGTGAAAATCAAACAAAGGAATGCAACATTTTGTAAGTACACTATGTATATGTATGTCTATAACATTTTTCTTTAGTATTAATTATTTATAAGCATACTCAAACAAATTTTTACATGAAGTCAACTATAATTATTTTAGTCATGTTAATTAAATCCAAGTACCGGAATATATTTCTTTGTCTGACTTTTTACATCATTCGTGTATTGTTTGAAATAACGTGTTACGTACATTTTATCGAACAAATGGCTTTAACATCTTTATTTCTTTTAATAGGCTTTTGCTTTAGAGGGTGGACTTTCCTGTTCATTTCTTTCATTCATGGGACTTAATTATATGCGTGATTAAAATCAATGGATCCACCACTTTGTGGAACTTAGTAGTGTAAGGCAGACGCGTACTTTGAAGGACCTGGATGTGATTACTGTGACCTACTTTTCACTAGGAATATAAATTTTGTCAAGCAGTGATTTTTGAGATTCAGTGATTTAATCCGAATTTGTGTTTGTCTTAAAAAAAACATGTAAAATAAATTCTCTCACAATCATAATAGAAGATCAAAACTTATATAAATATTACGCAACTTGAATAAAATTGTTTATTAGAATTTGAAATGTATTTGTTTATAAAGCAAATTGTAATATGAATTCAACGTGATTTCAACCAAATATCAACGTTTGTACAACCGAAAAATTTCAACCAAATCTCAACCTAATTTCAACCAATGTTAAGTTTTGTTCAATGTTGATATTTGACGTTGAAACAACGTTGAAGCTTCAACGTTGCTTCAACTTTCATTTGCAACCAAAAATCAACCATAAATCAACCAAAAATTCAACCCATTTTCAACGTTCATTCAACGTTGAAAGTTGACGTTGAAACAACGTTATGTCTCAACGTTGCCTCAACTTTCATATGCAACCAAAATTCAACGTTGATTCAACGTTGAAGTGCAACGTTGATTCAACGTTGAATCAACGTTGAAATGCCTGCTGGGTTCTGTTTCCTCCATGTTGTACTCAGCAAATTCCAAGATGGCTACACATTTACACATGTAACACTGGAAAGCCCAACCATTTCAAAAGGACCATACGGGATACATTTAATACTTACATGCAGAAAGAGAAACAAACCACATATGTGTGCATAGAGCTGCACAAATGTATTATAATGTTTAACATACTCTTCATTATCATTTTTTTTATTTAAAATGTTTTAAGATAGATAAATTTTAAAAAGAACTTTATTAGGAAACCCTAATGTGCCTCTGCATCTCTGCAGTGAAAGGTCAGATTATGTCATTGTCAGATGCTAGATCAGGATTTTGGCGGGGAAGTGCTAACTACAGATAGGATTAGGTGTCAAGTCTGACCATTTTTATGTGAGGGGTGTCAAGATTGCATATACATAGCTTCTTGGATGTAGATATCTAAAAATTAAGTTGTTTTTTTTTAAAAAGTTAAAAAAAAAATACAGGCTTTTTATAAAGTGTTCATATATGCAATTCAGCATCATTTGTTGAGTTAAAGAAAAAAATTATGCATGTTTGTAAACCAACGCCCCTTTATAAAGAATAATAGTATATTCCAAGAATTAGTATCTTGTACATTTATTTGTAAAAACCAGAAACCTCAAAGCAAAGATAGCGAATGAAAGTGAATATGTCTAGTCCACCGAAAAAACGAAAGAGAACACCAAGTTTCAGAATTGAATTATCGGGAGATGAAAGTAAGAAAACCAGTGTTTTGGAAAATTTGCAAAAACTAAGGAGTGAATTAGAGGGCAAACTGAACAAACATGTTGGAAATCTACAAGTCATTGAATATCTCTTTTCTCTTTGGAGTGAGAAAAGAAATGAGGAACACGACATCCAAGGTGATGTTGCACAGTCTGCCCAAGAAAAATCTCCAGCTCCTAGTCCTTACATAAAAGTTCAGAAAAAGGATGTAAATCAAAAACTCTTCTTGTGTGCTGAAGAATCTTTGAGGAGATTGGTGGAAATTGCAGAATACCATGGTCAAAATTGTTCAAGGAATTTAAAAATGAAGAAAGTGCAACAAAGAGGACATGTAATGTCAACCAAATTTCAATGCGAGGAAGAGGGGTGTAGGCATACGTTTCTGTGGTCATCATCTCCTTATTTGCCCAATAATGAATATTTGGTAAATAACCGTGTCAACCATTCTTTATTATGCAGCGGGATGCTTCCATCACACTACACTAGAAAAGAAAAGAATATACCAACATTTGAAAGATCAAAATGTAGCTGTAGGAATTCATACTCATGACAGGAATCTGTCGATTAATAAATATATCCGTGAGGAATGTGAGTCTACAAATCAAAATGACACCTGGCATGCAGTCAAATCAGTTAAGTCCTCTTTGAAAAAAGTATCTTCTGGGCCAGCATATCTTGAGGGAAAAACTTGGTCATCTCAACTTGATGACAAAGTGGAGCCAGTGTGCACTCACTTTCACTGGGCCATTAGAAACTGTGATGAAGATACCGCAAAACTTCAAGCACATCTATTGAACATAATAGAACATTACAAGAACAATCACTCAAATTGTCATTCGTCCTCCAGGTGCAAAATGGATCCTAACTATGAAATATCTCGGAAAGTTATTTCTAACCCGTGTGCCGAGAAGTTGTTGCTAGGAGTCGTAAAAAATTCTATTGTTTATAAGCATCCACAGGATTACATTTTATGTCATGATACATTTTATGTTGAAAGCTTCAACAATGTCATGAATGTATACCAGGACAAAAGAATATCATTTTCTGATGATATGTACAGAGCAAGATCCAATTTGGCCGTATGTCATTGGAATGAAAACGTGGACAGAGATTATACATCTGTTTGGAGACCAAACCACCGAATGCCAAGAAGTGCTAAGGGTAAAAAGAACTACAAAAAATTAACTTTCTCATTTAGGAAAAATATTTGGACACGATATGTGAAGAGTGTCTTCAAAGCTAAAAGAAGAAACTGATGTTATTGATTTTATTTGAAGGAGACGTGTAAATATCCCAAATTGTAAGAACTTTAAATCAAACTCCATTTATTTACATGTAATTAGTTTGAAACTTTTGTCCTGATTATCTGCAAAATCTTAACTGTTTATACACTGCATTTATGTGTTAATAAGTAAATGTTGTATACTTAATTAAACTTGAATAATTAGAGATTTGCAGTACACGCAGATTTTACTTCTTTATTTATATTTACACACAAAATGAAATGGAATTCCCACTGTTGGTTATTTGTAAACAAAGCTGACTCAGCTCAGTGCAGTTCTTATCAGCAGCACTGACAGTGATGGAGATAAGCACCGCCTATTTTACCAGGTGGCAAAAAATCTAGGTCGCCCCCGGCCTTTAAACTCCCTTTCACCGAAGAATTCCTTTGTACCAAGTTTGGTTAAAAATTAGGCGAGTGGTTTTTGAATCAATCAGATTGAGACAATGAATTTAGAGCTTTACCTCGCAAAAGAAATCATTTCCTCTCTTATCCAAAAACCTGCCAATCCAGGAATAGTCTGGGATGATTTCCCTGGAAATCAGACATCATTTCATATCATCATTGATCACTTTTACAAGAGCTTAAAATAATAACAAGCAACAAGCATAAAGATAAACTTTCAACAGACCCTTTACTAAATTTCAATTTTACTAAACTTCAATAGATACAATTTTGGCAAGAGTTATTACCCCTTCAAGGGCCTTGGTCCCTGTATTAGAGATCAGATTCCCTTGTTATTTACCCACAGGAGTCTGAAGTTTTTATCGTCAAAAAAAAAATCCGGAAAAAATTTTCCATCCTCCACTAAAAGAACACACTTTTAGTTGAGGGTGGGAAATCTTTTTACTGGATTTTTTTTGACGATAAAAACTTCAGACTCCTGTGATTTAACCACATTTAAACTTGCCACTCTGGGGTATGTTACACAGTTTTTCTGGCACCTGTGTCTCCTTAGAATGTTAAAGAATCTACTTTTGGGACATGGTTTTCGACAATAGGGCACACAGTGAAATCACTTATACGTGGGGGTTACTTTTGTTGTTTTCTTGGTATGAAGAGACCCACAAATACACCTTTTGGAGCCTCTTTCAATTGTTAAGATTGTTTTTGTATATTTCTGCCATGCTTATTTTTAAATTTCTTGATCAAAGAGGAAGAGGAACTGACCTCCTAGATAGTAGCCGAGGGGAATAACTCTGAGGGAAAACCCACTCGGAGTTCCTCGGATGGCTCGTACCTGGCGCATGACCTCTGACATCAAAGGTGTTCTACCATCTTGCTGAGTCAGTCATGTGATCTCATGCGCGGATCTAGAGGGGGGGGGGGAAATTCCCCCTGGAATTTCGACGGTTAAAAAATGTATATGCTAAAGCAAGAGAAAAGTCACCTTGGACCCCCCCCCCCCGGTGAACATGAATATGTGTAAAATGGGTATGAAAAGTGAAAGAATTGAGGCAATAGAAGTCATAGCCTACTTACCCCCCCCCCCGAAATAGTTTTTTTTACGTTTGAAGAACTTTTGGCAGGGCAAAATATGAAATGAGTGACAAGGCAGTTTCAAGCGGAGAAATGTAGTGACTTGATGCATATTACTCCACCTATCACATCAGAAGTTTGAATGAAGCACAGCGGAGTAGGGCTGGGTATTGACCAGAAATTTTGTATTGCGATATATTGCGATATTTTTAACTGTATTGCGATATGTATTGCAATATTTTCAACATTATTAAAATGTCATTTTTTTACGAAATTAACTTTAATCTACATGAAGAACATACATAACTATATGATGAGTTAGCAAAAGGAGTACAAAATCTTGTTGATTTTATTAAAGCTTTGCTCTAGAATACACCCAAAAAATAGCATCTTTCTTACTGTTTGGCTTTTTAACAACTCTTCTTATATTTACTTTTATATTTAATGATAAAATTCTTTAGTCTAAGCATTTTGCCGGTATATGGATATCACAAAAAATGCATTGAAATACGATATTTTTTGTCACTGTATTGCAATAAACCGAGATAGCGATATTTAGCCCAGCCCTACAGCGGAGTCAACCAAGGATTGCCGATTGGGGAAAACCCTTAGATCAATAGAGCCATTCATTAGAAGCTCTGACCCAGTCCCAGGTGCCATGAAATTCATTCAAAGTTTTAAAAGTGGTAACCCTTGTCAATCAAAAACTATGCAATTAATTTGTGAGTTAACTTGTCAGACCCACAAAAAGTGATTTGAAGAGTAGTGTTGAATAATCGGGAAAATTTCATAATCGGTCAAAATCGGAGAAGCTTAATCGATCAATCATCTACTTAATTGGTAATTCAAATTTCAAATACAAAATTCTATTTCTTTACAGCATTTATCATTTATGGAACAAATTAAAAATAAAATTTTGTCAAGTTTATTCTAAAGACAACTTTTTGTTGTATAAGTAACAAAGAAACAGATTTTTTTTTTTACATATTTGCTCATAAAACTAAAAATGTTTGTCATGACATCAGATTTTGCATTCCCTAGTTAATACAAGCCCTCACCACAGTTAGAATACGTCCCATATACTTGCAATGTAGCAAATCGGAGTGGATCCGCTCCGGAATGATTTTGAAGAGTATATTAAAAGGATTTGAACTGGAAATAACTTCCAAATAAATCAAAACAATCCTTTTGGAGATTGCCGATGCATTTTATCCCAAAAAATAATCCATATAAAGACGAAAATCCAATTCAATTAAATGTTCTCAACATTTTTCTCTCGCTTCAAATTTACCTGCCATGTTTACATTCGGAACTCTCTAGATTGTCTGTAGTAAATGCACTGAGTATGATTTATTGCCCGACGTGTTTCTTTTGCTACATTACGAATACACGGAACGAATTCTATGGTTAAACCGGGTCCGTAGGAAAATATTTTAACGATAGAATGTTCTATCTATGCATTCCCTGGATATGGGTAAATTTCTACTTGATTGTTGTTAACTTCGCCTTCGGCCATTTTTGTTGACCTCCTTTCGTTTTACATGTATCAATTGTTAATGTGTATGTATTAGTTTCGTTCAAATCATACAAGTTTATTTGGGTGAGTTTATTTGGACGACAATCGATTATGAAAAACGTAATCGATAATCGGAATCGAACACCCAAAAACGATCAACAATCGATCGTCGGCGACAATCGTTTCATCACTATTGAAGAGAACTTGTGAAAAAGGATTAACTCATTGTGGTTTATAAATTTCTTGTGTGAAGGTTGTCTTTAGTTAAATTTCAAAATTGTTTAAATAACATTTCTTTTGTCATATACGAGGGTTGTCCCGTAAAATCGTGGACAAGTTGTCTAGTGTAAAAAATAAATATCACTGCGTTATGAAATTTTCACTATTTTTTAGTACATATTTTAGTAATATGCACAGCAAATTTCAGATAAATATATGCATGAATAAACAAATTATGAGATTTTATGCCATGTATTGTATCACCTTACGGCGCATGGATTATAACGTCAAAGTGTCTAAAACAGCGTCACGTTTTATCTTTGCTGAAAATGAAGTTGGATAAGTCCGACTTAATTTTAGGAATTTCATTGATACACATTCTTTAGTCTCCATAAACAGCCGAAGAACCAATTGACACCCTCATGCGATCTTCTGAAGATTTATCAGTAAGTTACGGACAATATTCTCACCATTATTCAACTAATAGAAAATCTCATATCGGCGGTCTACTGTGACAGTGTCTTTTGCTATTACATTAGGAGATTGTCCGTATGTTCTGTACTCCCCAGGGGCTCGATCAAAAAAGAATTCGCTAAGAAAACTCCCATTTCAATTGTATACTTAAGATATGATGATATTTTTATAATCTTTTTTCTTCTATGGTCATTTCAAGTCTCTGAAGGTGTCATTACAACATCAAATTAAAACGGAACTGCTCTCCGTCATAAAACGTCGCCTTTTTCGCGTGTTGTGTTTACCACTTTCCCATTTCGAATGCTCGAGAAACTGCCAAAAATTAACCAAATGCCTTAAAATGTTTACAAAGACTACAAAATTTTATGTTGAATTGAATTAGGATAATTTTAATCCAAATCTTATGTATCTAAAATAGGGATGTCAACGAATATTCGAATATTCATTCCATGAGTTGATATTCGAATATAGATTTATGATTCGAATATTCGTTTTAAAGTGTACAAGCATCAAAAAGAGAGAAAAACTGTTGTAAGGACACAGATTTACATGGATCCCTTGTTTATATAAACATCATTAAAATCATTATCATGAAATTAATAAGCCAAAATTAATTGCTTTTAATATTTTTCTGCTAGATAATTGTTCTGCTTGGTATATTTATAGGAGTTATCAGTTTATACTTTTGTACATGTAAGACGATCAATTAATCTGAAATATACTGGAGAACCTTTTGAATTTTCAAAGAAAAATACATTTTGGATGTATACTCTTCATATAATTGATAATTAGAAAAAAAAATAATTGAGGTGCATTTACCAAACTCTACATGAGTTCTTATTCTAAAATAATGGCATAAAACCTATACTGCTTGACAGGAGATTGAATACATATATTCTATAATGAAAATGTATTTATTTTATCGAATATTCGAATATATTCGAATACTTCCATCGAATATTCGAATATCAATTACTGACAATTTTGACATCCCCAATTTAAAACTTTTATTTTGAATTCAAACCTGTGTATTCTTTAATAAAACCTTGGTTTTTTGTCCATGCGCGGTAGGACAATACCCCTTGCACATTCAAGCATAATAAAATCTTTATTTTTGCCTATATCTTATCAAAAAAATTATCATGCACTTAAATATGATAAATATTAAACATTTACTGGAATTTTCAGCTTAGTGCGCCCATAACTTTTCGAGAAAAACGCTTTGTCCACGATTTTATGGGACAACCCTCGTACATTACAACATATTTTATACAAAATATCAGTTAAACAGTTGTACTTTAATTAGGTCATCATGGGTGTCAGAAAAATAACATTTTCCAGAATCAGAATCAGAACTTTGGCTTTCATTTACAACTTGTGGTATTGCACTTCTCCATGTCAAAACTTAATTACTTGTCATACTACATTATATTTCCATTTCTAATTTTTCTGTCTGTGATAACTCTTTGAAAGTTAGTGCAGTTAAATTTCTTGATAATTATACCAGAATGTAAATTAGGCAGGTCAACAGGTCAGGATCGAGCTAAAAGGCCTAATATGCATGCAAATCTCGTGCACATCTGTCTCTGAGTCTGACGCTAAGGAGGCCAAATATGCATGAAAATCTCGTGCGGCTGCTGTTGTGTTTGACGTCAGTGGGCGAGGACTATTGAAATTGGGACGGGAGTCCTCGTGTAATTTAAATCTATATCTGCATTTTTAAAGTCTAAATCTACAATTTTATTTCACAATGAAATGGAAATATAAGGAATCACTGTCTAGTTAGTATAGTATGCCAGGGACATCAACAATAGTGAAAAACATGGGATAATTTCTTCATAACGGGCTTTGCCCGTTATACAAATTATCCCATGTTTCCCACTATTGTTGATGCCCTGGCATACTATACTAACTAGACAGTGATCGATTCCTTAAATACATCTATAATATGCAATTGTAATCAGTGTATAATTATATTGTAATAATTTGTTCACGGCCCCCGAGGACCCTTGATTGGTGAATAAACATATGGAAGTGGGTATAAACACCTGTCCACTTTTCTATATAGAAAAAGATTGATAGTCTTGCTGAAACAGTGAAGTTCAAAATGTTTAATGTTTATTTATAAAATGCAGTGATTGGGAAGGGATTGTGCCATAGTTGTATTGAACTGAAGTAAAAATTGACACAATAAATCAACCATTTTTGTGGCAACAATGTGTCGTATCAATTATTAGATTGAAAATATATGTGTATGCCTTTTCTGTTTTACTTTCAGTGGAAGAGAGAGAGATAGAGAGAGAGAGTAGAATTTCCGAAAACTATCGGTCCTACTGGCAAAACCGATAGAAAATCCAAATGTCCGATGAAATTCGCCAAAGTACCGGTCCGTGTGACCGATTGTGGTGAGGGCTTGTCCTGAGTAATTTATTGTACTCTGATCTATTGCAATGTCTTCATAAATGAAAAATTTCAATGCAGCATGCTCCTATTCTTCGTAAATATCCATAATCTTATCCATTTTGCAATTTTACTTGACTTATTTACTTCCACAAAAGATCGTTTTTTCCCATTCCGAATTTCCTCCACTAACCTGATAGTGGTAAACACATGCATTATACAGGTCATGAATTGCAATGCCCACTGAGAAAACGTAAAGATAATTTAATTTTTTTTTGTGAATTTCTATCATAACTGTAGTGCGAGTATACTTGAATATCGAGGGATGCACTTACAGCAGAAGAAGAAGAAATATTTGGTTTTCGGAAACTCTGAGAGAGGGAGGGCGTGGGAGTTGGTAGAGTCTATAACATAACCTAGTCTTGGATATGGTTTTATGTAATAGAACACATATACGATCCCGATGCAATATACTTTTGTAAACATGCTGATGTGTGGCAACTAATTTGATTGTCAATCGTTAATCGGAGACATAATATTATGACATCGAAGCGAAAAAATGATTCCACCAAGTTTGTGGTATTTAATAGTAAACATACTAAATTTCATGACCTATTAGTATCACTTCTATACACAAGCATGCCAAAATAGAATTAGTGACCTACTTTAGTATTTGGCATGTGCACGTACTGGAGAATATTATTTACTTGATTAAGTATGTTAATCTACCGAGACAAAAAGAAATTTGTTATAAGGAATCCAGCCCATATAACGCTAGGTAATTAGTCTCTAAATGTGAACCTGGATAAAAGGAATTAGGTCCTAGAAATAAAATAACGTTCAACGAGCAATATATGATGATATAGGTGTTCAACATAACCTAATAAAATGTTCAACTGTGAAATAACTCATTAAAAAAACATTCATCGGAAACTAAAATCCGATACACAGGGAAACCTAATAATCCAGTCATGGTTCAACAGATCCCAGTCACCTAACAGTGTAACCAATCCACTGAACTACATATCCCAGTCACTTTTCAACATTATACAGTCATGGTTGAACATAAGCAAGTCTCTAAACTACTTAACCCAGTCACAGTTCCACATAAACAAGTCTCTAAACTACATAATCCAGTCCCAGTTCCACAAAAACAAGTCTCTAAACTACATAACCTAGTCACGGTTCAATATAAACAAGTCTCTAAACTACATAACCCAGTCACGGTTCTACATAAACGTCTCTAAACTACATAATCCAGTCAAGGTTCTACATAAACAAGTCTCTAAACTACATAATCCAGTCACGGTTCTACATAAACAAGTCTCTAAACTACATAATCCAGTCATGGTTCTTCATAAACAAGTCTCTAAACTACATAACCCAGTCATGGTTCTTCATAAACAAGTCTCTAAACTACATAATCCAGTCACGGCTCTACATAAACAAGTCTCTAAACTACCTAACCTAGTCACAGTTCTTCATAAACAAGTCTCTAAACTACATAATCCAGTCACGGTTCTACATAAACAAGTCTCTAAACTACATAACCCAGTCACGGTTCTACATAAACAAGTCTCTAAACTACATAATCCAGTCACGGTTCTACATAAACAACTCTCTTAACTAAATAATCCAGTCATGGTTCTACATAAACAAGTCTCTAAACTACATAATCCAGTCACGGTTCTACATAAACAAGTCTCTAAACTACATAATCCAGTCATGGTTCTACATAAACAAGTCTCTAAACTACATAACCCAGTCATGGTTCTACATAAACAAGTCTCTAAACTACATAATCCAGTCATGGTTCTACATAAACAAGTCTCTAAACTACATAATCCAGTCATGGTTCTACATAAACAAGTCTCTAAACTACATAATCCAGTCATGGTTCTACATAAACAAGTCTCTAAACTACATAATCCAGTCACGGTTCTACATAAACAAGTCTCTAAACTACATAATCCAGTCACGGTTCTACATAAACAAGTCTCTAAACTACATAATCCAGTCATGGTTCTACATAAACAAGTCTCTAAACTATATAACCAGTCACGGTTCTATAAACAAGTCTCTAAACTACATAATCCAGTCATGGTTCTACATAAACAAGTCTCTAAACTACATAATCCAGTCACGGTTCTACATAAACAAGTCTCTAAACTACATAATCCACTCATGGTTCTACATAAACAAGTCTCTAAACTATATAACCTAGTCACGGTTCAATATAAACAAGTCTCTAAACTACATAATCCAGTCACGGTTCTACATAAACAAGTCTCTTAACTACATAACCCAGTCACGGTTCTACATAAACAAGTCTCTAAACTACATAATCCAGTCATGGTTCTTCATAAACAAGTCTCTAAACTACATAATCCAGTCACGGTTCAATATAAACAAGTCTCTAAACTACATAATCCAGTCTCTAAACTACATAATCCAGTCACAGTTCTACATAAACAAGTCTATAAACTACATTACCCAGTCACGATTCAACATAACTAACTCTCTAAACAACCTAACCTAGTCATGGTTCAACACAACCAATTCTCTAAACAAGCTAACCCAGTCATGGTTCAATAGAACCAACTCTCTAAACAAACCTAGCCCAGTCACGGTTTAACATAATCAAGTCTCTAAACAACCTAATCCAGTCAAGGTTCAACATAACCAACTCTCTAAACAACCTAACCCAGTCACGGTTCAACATAACCAACTCTCTAAACAACCTAACCTAGTCATGGTTAAACATGATTAAGTCTATAAACAACCTAAACAATTCACGGTTCAACATAACCAACTCTCTAAACAACATAACCCAGTCAAGGTTCAACATAACCAACTCTCTATTACAACCTAACCCAGACTTTTACCCAGTCAAGGTTCAACATAACCAACTCTCTATTACAACCTAACCCAGACTTTTACCCAGTCAAGGTTCAACATAACCAACTCTCTATTACAACCTAACCCAGTAACAGTTTAACATGACAAAGTCACAAAACAGCATAGCCAAGTCACCAAGAAACACTTTCCGATCATGGAACAAAATATTTGTGTATAATTCTTTTTTCCCATGTAGCTTGAAACACAAGCTTTGATTGTATACAGAGTTGGATGTTAAATTTTGGCCCCCCACTTAAGCAGGGGGTAAATAAAATGTGATGTCACAAAACACACTTTCTCTATGATAAAATCCAAATAACATGGTGTCAGGATGCATTGTAGTATGTAGTTATAGATCATCTGATCCATAGATTGGCTCTGATGTTTATGGTTCCAAAGTAGGAAATACATTCGTTATCCAGGTCCAATTAAGGGTGTATGGTGATTCCATACACCCTTCTTCCTCAAAGTATACAGAATAAATCCTTGACACCATTGATTGGACCTGGATAATTAATACTATCCAAAAATAAGGCAGATTATATATATAAAACTTGTAGGAAAGTAATTTATTTCACACAATAGAGATTTGATACTTAAAATTATGATTAGGTATTTTTGTATTCAGCTTTGCACAAATTTTAAACAATATTAAGTTGCATCATCTATGAATGATCACTTCCAACAGAGTTAATTCATAAATATTTAACATATATTACAGTTCAACTAATGATCTGCATCCAAAATTAGCTACACATACAATTCTAAGTCCATGCGAATGTATTACATGTACACCATTTTGAATCACTTTAAAATTATGGATATATAATCATCTGATAATTATACAAATTTAAGTTCTTTATTGAAAAAAAAATGTGGCTGCACGAGTGTTCCTTTTAAAATAACACAAAAATCCAATGATTGTTGAATGTAAAATTTGTTTCACTTAAAGTCAGAAAAACAGAACAAGTTAATATTTTCCTCTAGTCAATTGATATGAAATTTTCATCAATTTCTTCCAACATTTACTAAAGAATGGTTCAAGTAAGAATTATTGATACAACACTTTGGAATTGGTGTGGATGTGATATGAATGAAATCATGATTATAAGAGTTAGGGACTTTACTCATCTACAGTAGCAAAGTACATCATGAATTTGCCCTGACTGTCTATTTGAACAACAGTGATATTTCATCATATCCTGATATATATATATATATATATATATATATATATATATATATATATATATATATATATATATATATATATATATATATATATATCTTTACTCTTTATCAATGCTGTTTTTAATTGTTATTTCAATGGATAGAGAAGTTTTTCAGCTTCGCTATAAGTAATGTTTTTTACAGTGGAGGCAATGAGAATTCTTGCTTCTACAAGCAATACATCCCTAAAGTATGCAACTCCCTCATTCAATCTCTGTCCTGGCCTAAAATAAAATGTATGAAATAATTAAGAATAAAGTCGTCTATAATTAATAATAATCAAATCAAGACCATAACAGATGTGAATAATGGATATTAGGAAATATACTGTTTACTTAAATATAATTAACAATTTAGTTACAAAGATATAACTCCAGATTGTTATTACAGGGATATTTTGAATATCACAGTTAGTTGAATGTTAACTAAATATAATAAACTATCATACCCATCTTCCAGCGTTGCTTTTAGTTTTCCATTTGTGCAGTTTTTTAAACTAAGGTAAAACCCTGGAGGACTAAAGATACCACTATATCCAAATAGAGAAATACATTTGTATAAACATTTTAATAATTTGTCCATCAAAAATTAAAAATTGAAACAAGAATTCTGAACATAATTTATTAGTCGTCTTTAATTATTTGAAAAGGGGAATTTGAATTATTTTGATTTTAAAAGAATGCTTTTTACTTGGTGTTAACAAGAAAAACCAAATTTTGATTAATTTTGATTATTGCCCCACATGATTTGTTCATTTAGGAGGGACTCTATGGAAGAACAAAAAATTTCCCAAGTATCAAATAGTCTTGCTACTTTTGCCAAAAAATAAAGTTATCACAAAAAAGAGGGATTTACAGATATTCTTCAATGGGTGCAATTTCTACCTTTTGAAATAAATGTTTTATTATTTCAACTGTATTAATTAGGAAATGCACAATTTAGTAACAATGACAATTTAGTTAACTTATAGACACAAATAGCCACAAACCTCTAAAGGTGACAGGTTTAGATTCATCTTCCAAATCAACTTTATTAAATAGCTTAATTAAATTGAGATAGAAACTTACATGATTGTTTTGGGTTTAAACAAGCCGAATTCTTCTAAAACAAGAGCACTTATTTCAGCCCATCCCTTTAAGAATAAAAAAAAAATCAATTGTATTCTTTTCCTTTTCTAACACACCCTTGCCCTCTCTCACACACTTACACACATTAATAAATATATACATACCTAAATATATCATCATGAAAAACACATGAATCAAGTTAAGAAATAGTCTCTATAACTGTTACTTAACTTGCATAGAGCAATTACTGGGTACAAAATATGCAAGACTAGTCATATTTTATGAAATGCATTATATACTACAGAGCAAACATTTGAGTGTTAAAATTACCTTTTTATGAAAAAGTTTATCTCTTTCTTTCATTCCTTTCAAACAGTTATTCATCACATTATGGTCTGTCAAGTCATTCCTGTCAATCCAACGTAGATGTCTCCAATGTGGTTCATAACACCTGCAAAAGCAATATACATCCTAAAAATGAAGTTTATAACATTTCTATTTTATCCAGTTGTTACTGTATCTCTTTGAAACAAAAATTCATGAAACAATGTAACAATATGTAGGACATACCATGAAATCTTTTAAATTTCTAGCAAGAAATCTGTGAGCCAATGCTCACTAGTAATACCTCTACTATGATGTAAAAATACACTATATGTTAATATATATATGTACACAATGTAAAGTTCAGTTACAGGCAGATTCACGAATAAATAGGAAGTTGACATAAGATTCACACAAAAATAAATCCCACCATACAGAATACCTCAACAAAGTATGTTTTAAAATTTCAAGCATCTGCTACCGTATAAGTGGAAATTTTAGCGAGACACAAATTTAGCGATTTCTCCTTAAAAACTGGTATTTTATTTTTAGCGAGAAGTAATTTTAACGATTTTAAAATGCCCACTCAAGAAGCTAGTATAAATAACACGCAATTCATTTTTAGCTATATTCAATTTTAGTGATCTTAAAAGCCTTGCTAATAATGCCAAAATTAAATCCTCGCTAAAATTTCCACTTATACGGTATGATGCTGTGAAACATGCGAAAAAAATTGTTATGGACAGACAGCTAGACAAACAGATGGGTAGACCCAAAAGGGTAAAACAATATACCCCTCTACTTAGGAGCAGGGTTACAATAATGAAATTTTGATCATTTAATTGATTGCCCATAAAGTTAATGAAGATTGACAATTTTAAAGTAAATAAGCTGCTCATGTATATATATACAAGTACATCACGTACCTCTTATCACCCTCTTCTAATTCCAACATTTCCTTCAGCTTTGTTTTGACATTGTTTTCAAACTATAAAATTTTTAAAATAATTATTAGAAATCTTTTCGTAGTGTTGTAGAACTTAATTAATATTACTAAGCATTTAAAACAGACTTATCCTCTCTTTATATCTTTGTGAAATCAATACATGTAGGAAATATTATAAAAAGATAAACAAGAAACTTAAATTGTGAAGTCAGGGCATTTAGATAAACATGTATGCAAAACATTACTTAAATTACCAGAGATGCTTTATTGTAGCCTAGTATATTTCCTGATCCCTTGGTTATGGGAAGATCCATCCTTGGCCATTCACACAAAATATGAACCAATTTCATGGACTGTTCAGTCTACAAGTAAAACACATTTTGGATTATGTTGTTTAGTGCCTAGAGTATGATGAACCAAGACTGAATTATGTTGTTTAGTGCCTAGAGTATGATGAACCAAGACTGGATTATGTTGTTTAGAGCTTAGAGTATGATGAACCAAGACTGAATTATGTTGTTTAGTGCCTAGAGTATGATGAACCAAGACTGGATTATGTTGTTTAGTGCCTGGAGTATGATGAACCAAGACTGGATTATGTTGTTTAATGAATGTAGTATGTTGAACCAAGACAGGATTATGTTGTTTAGTGCCCATAGTATAATGAACCAAGACTGGGTTATGTTGTTTAGTGCCTGGAGTATGTCGAACCAAGACTGGATTATGTTGTTTAGTGAATGGAGTATAATGAATCAAGACTGGATTATGTTGTTTAGTGCCTGGAGTATAATGAACCAAGACTGGATTATGTTGTTTAGTGAATGGAGTATAATGAACCAAGACTGGGTTATGTTGTTATGTGAATGGAGTATGTTGAACCGAGACTGGGTTATGTTGTTTAGTGAATGAAGTATGTTGAACCTGGACTGGGTTATGTTGTTTAGTGCCTGGAGTATGTTGAACCGAGACTGGGTTATGTTGTTTAGTGCCTGGAGTATGTTGAACCTGGACTGGGTTATGTTGTTTAGTGCCTGGATTATGTTGTTTAGTGCCTGGAGTGTGTTGAACCATGACTGGATTATGTTGTTTAGTGCCTGGAGTATGTTGAACTGTGACTGGGTTAGGTTGTTTAGTGAATGTAGTATGTTGAACCAAGACTGGATTATGTTGTTTAGTGCCAGGAGTATGTTGAACTGTGACTGGGTTAGGTTGTTTAGTGAATGTAGTATTTTGAACCAAGCATGGATTATTTTGTTTAGTGAATGTAGTATTTTGAACCAAGACTGGATTATGTTGTTTAGTGCCTGGAGTATGATGAACCAAGACTGGATTATGTTGTTTAGAGCCTGGAGTATGTTGAACCTTGAATGGATTATGTTGTTAACTGAATGAAGTTTGTTAAACCAAGACTGAGTTATGTTTTTAGTGAATGTAGTATGTTTAACCATTACTGGATTATGCTATTCAGTGACTGGGTTATGTTGTTTAGTGACTGGATTATGTTGTTTAGTGCCTGGAGTATGATGAACCATGACTGGGTTATGTTGTTTAGTGCCTGGAGTATGTTGATCTGTGACTGGGTTAGGTTGTTTAGGGAATGTAGTATTTTGAGCCAAGACTGGATTATGTTTTTAGTGAATGTAGTGTGTTGATCTGTGATTGGGTTAGGTTGTTTAGTGAATGTAGTATGTTGAACCAAGACTGGGTTAGGTTGTTAACTGACTGGAGTATGTTGAACTGTGACTGGGTTATGCTATTCAGTGACTTGGTTATGTTGTTTAGTGAATGAAGGATGTTGAACCAGGAGTGGATTATGTTGTTTAGTGAATGGAGTATAATGAACCGAGACTGGGTTATGTTATTCAGGGACTGGAGGATGTTGAACCACGCCTCGGTTAGGTTGTTTAATGAATGTAGTATGTTGAACCAAGACTGGGTTATGTTGTTTAGTGAATGGAGTATGTTGAACCGAGACTGGGTTATGTTTTCTAGTGAATGTAGTATGTTGAACCATGACTGGATTATGCTATTCAGTGACTGGGTCATGTTGTTTAGTGACTAGAATAGGTTGTTTAGTGACTTGAGTATGTTGAACCATGACTTGGTTATGTTGTTTAGTATCTGTAGTATGTTGAACAGTGACTGGGTTATGTTGTTAAGTGAATGGAGTATGTTGAATAAATACTGGATTATTGTTTTTTAGTGAATGGAGTATGTTGAACCAAGACTGGATTATTGTTTTTTAGTGATTGGAGTATGTTGAACTGTGACTGGTTTAAAGTTTAAAGTAAAGTTTAATGAATGGACTTTTTTTCTGAAGTAGTAAATAAATTATGCATACTTACATCTTCTCTTGATTTCATTTTTTTCTTTTCGTTGTTCCTTTTGTCTCGGTCATATCCCTGATGACATTCAAGGACTCTTTTACCCATAATGATGAAAGGGATGGCATCATGTTCAGCATTTCCCTGTGTGTCCACAAATCTAATATGGGCTTTATCAATTCTTCCTACATCTATAGCAATTGCAAAAGAAATTTAAGTGTGTATAAAGTAAATAGATTTTTAAAATTGATAATCTAGAGGAGGGTGGGAGTAATTGGAACGACTTTATCGAAAAACTTTCATAAACACATGTTCAACCTGCATAGTTTCATTTTCCAAGCATACCTCATAGGATATAACCATTGCAGGTCAAACACCATCGTCGCAAGCCACGGGTTTTGTGTCCGTTTGTGGAAATAGAATGGACACAAAACCCGTGGCTTGCGACGATGGTCAAACACTGATTTTAAATGTAACCACCTGACACCATATCCCTATGCTTCCCGTGAGCTAAAGTGTTTACTATTTCTAAAGTATTAAATAAAGCATAATTGGCATTGAATAATAAAATATAGCCACAAGCTCTCACCAACATCTTTTCCAAATTCTTTGGAACTTTTTATACATCGGATGGACGAAGTTGCATAATCATACTCCTGTAACAACTTGTCCAATTTTGTGGAAGATGTCACAAACCCAGAGTGTGATGTTAATTCACCATCAAACAGGTCTTTCCAAGTGTCACTATGGATACGAAAAATAAAAATAATGAAAATTAAATATTTTTTAACACCCTTCCTTTTTTCAAAAAGTAATCAAAATGGGTACCATAGTACCCATATTTTCAAAAAAACTTTATCAAGATGTTAACATTTTTCCTCAATACCGCATATTCACTATATTATACTTCATACAAATTCATACCCTGTTTCTTCGTCTATTTCATGCATCTTCTGAGATGAAAGGATAACGGCATTCAAAAGAGATATGCATATCCCAACCTTTTCCACGTTGGATTTCCCGAAAATAAATCGGGTTCGGTGTTCAAGAAATTTATACATGTGAAAACCAAACCGGAAATAACATTCCCGAAATCCAGGACTAGGTTATGTTATAGACTCTACCGTGGGAGTTTAATACAAGACTTACGATCGACCAATATGCAGACTGACGATTTATTTCATACAGACTGACGATTTATATTTAGCTAAGAGTTTGAAGTTTAAAATACGAACAAAGAAGCCTGCCCCCATGCATATTTTTTTTTTCCTTAATACAAAACAAAACAGTAAGACAGGTAAACTAACTTACATCCAGATTTTCCCCATGACCCGCTCCTCAGTGCTCCAGGTCAAATAGACGCAAAAGAACCCTGCAGAACATAAAATTTATGAAAACTCAAAATGTTTGAAATGAACTCGGTTAAATATTAAGTTTAAAATAATATGACAGTCATTATACGTGTCAATATGGTAATATCTATTAATTAATTAACACTTACACTGTTATTTTTCACCAAAACTTACTGTACGGTGTACCGCCTTTTCTTTTCCCCCAGAAAAACGTAGCTATTTTTGGCACCCCGATCCCGATTGTATTCTACTTCTACTTCTACTTCTACCAGTACGTGGCCTCCGTCAATCTGTTGACTATTATGCCACCAGGTGTGCGCATGATTAAAAGAAAAAAAAAAAAAAATGTAACAATTGTGAAAGTCTATTTACAAGTGAATTTTAAAAAATAATTTTTTTTTTTTTTTTTGTGCTGGTGACCTATCGACGGAGGCGAGCCTTGAAGCAGTCAAGGCTCGGTGCCATCACGATAGAGGTGGGTAGGGCATTCCACTCCTGGATGGTACGTGGGTAGAATGACTCCTTCCTCACTGAAGTTCTGCAAGATGGTAGCTGAAATGCCAGTATATTGTTGTTTCTGGTTGTTCTGTCCTGAGTTCTTAGTTTCTGGCTGGTGTCAATCTGGACTTCATTGTTGGCGAGTTTATACATGGCACTGAGACAGGCTATCCTTCGTCTCTCTTCTAGTGATGGCCATTCCAGTTGGTTTAGCATCTCGGTTACAGACGAGGTGTTGTGGTATCTATTGTGGACATACCGAGCTGCTCTGCGCTGAATCATTTCGATTTTGTTGATATCTGTCTTTAGATAAGGATTCCAGGCGGCACTGGCATACTCCACACTTGGTCTAACTAGTGATTTGTATGCTTTCTCTTTGATGTTACTGTTACTTATATTGATGTTTCTTTTGAGGAATCCAATGGTTCTGTTCGCTTTAGCTGTGATATTATTTATGTGTTCAGTCCACTTCAGATCTGACGAGATGGTAACGCCTAGATATTTTGCAGAGGGGATATGCTCCAGTTGGTGTCCATGTAAGATATAGTTCTTCTTGATGACTCTACGATTCCTGGTGATGCTTAGCACGTTACATTTTTCTGGGTGGAACTTCATGAGCCACTTATTTTCCCACACTGCTAGTTGGTTTAGGTCTACCTGCAGCTTCTCTGCATCTGCATCTGATGTGATGGTCATGTATGCTACGGTATCATCAGCGAAGAGTCGTACCGTTGATAGAAGGCCCTCTGGCATGTCGTTTATGTAAAATAGAAAGAGACTGGGTCCAAGGACCGAGCCTTGGGGAACACCCGAGTCTACAGACACCTCTTCAGATGATTCGCCCTCCACGACCACCCTTTGCCTGCGGTTGGTAAGGAAGCTTTGAATCCACTGATTGGTCTTTCCTTTTATTCCATAATGGTGGAGTTTGTGGATTAGGAGACTATGGCTCACTTTGTCGAATGCTTTGGAAAAGTCCATAATAAGGCATATTTCATGTGAATTCTTTGATTAAGCGTGTTGATTTAACTTCCATGCAATAACGTAGCCCTCTTGTTTTTTATTTTTCTTTTTTTTCTCCTCAGAAATATCAGATGTAAAAAGTAAACTATTCAATGTATAAAGACCATATTTTTTACCTAATAAATGAATGGTCCGATATTTTTAATCATGATAGCATTTTGAAGATGTTATCAAATAAGAATGCTCCACCAACAGAATTTACAAAATTTTGATTAATGTCCGATTAATTTCACATTGAATTTTACATTGAAGTCTATATAAGCAGTACATGTTTTTAAAAATAACGTAAAAAGTAATTTGAATTTCAAACAAATCATGCATAAACCGCGGAAAATTTGAGTAATCAAAATTTTTCTACTTTTCATCAATTTAGGGCAGATAACTTTTCACAAACTTTTAATGTGCAAAATGACCGCCTCCTTTCGTGTTATCAGTCTTGTGAATTTGGTTCATTTCACTTTTATTGTTATCTAGCAATGTGTTTTTAACTGATTTAAAAATCCTTTCATTATTGTAAACATTGAATTGCTGATTACATTCACTTCGCATGCTTACTCTACTTTTAAAGAAAAGTCCTGTTCTCCAAAATGCTTTGACGAACTATGCCGCATTACTGAGTATTAAATTTTCATTAAGAAAACTGTGTGCTTTATTAATACATAGGGCTGGGCAGTAATATCGATATTTCAATATATTGCAATACAATGATAAAAAATATCGTATCGCAATACGATTTTGTAATATCGATATATTGGCAATATACGTAGATTAAGGAATTTAGTCATTGAATTTAAAAATGGACTTACGAAGGTTTGTTATTAAGCCAAACAGTAAGACAGAAGTTATTTTGTGGGAACATTTCAGAGCATAACTTAAATGAAATCAACGAGATTTTTTTTCCATGTTGGTTACTTATCATAGTTATGTATACATTCTGCATGTAAATTAATGTAAATATAGTAAGAAAATGCCATTTAAATTACATTGAAAATATTGCAATACATATTGCAATACAGTTTAAAATATCGCAATATATCGCAATACGAAATCTCGGGCCAATACCCAGCCCTATTAATACATATACCATGGGCATCGGAAGCAAATTGAAAGGGGGGGGAGTTATTGAAAGGGGGGGGGGCTAAACCAGCAAAAAAGGTAAATCCCCATTTTCAATGCCTGTAAAATATCTATTTTTGCAAAAATTCCCCCCCCGTTTCCGAGGCCTATGAATACTTAAAACCTGTGCTATATATATGTAATGAAGCTCTTTTTCTCAAACTTTGACAGGTGTAACATTTTTGTAACTATCAAATTCAATTTTTAAATAAAGAACAAAAAAGAATACTGCAGACATGTGTGAAAATATCCACACATAGTTCGGCACCGAGGGATAAAAATGTGGTTTTTAGGGGGGAGGAGAGGAGCAAAACCCCATAGTTCTTTGGAATCTCGAAATCCGCTCATACATTTTTCGTAGTACCTTTTGGAGTCATTATTGATCGAGTCTTAATTTAAGTTCTTACCAGCCATTACCAACTTTAAAGTTGGAAAAGCCAACATTAAAGTTGGAATTACCAACTTTAAAGTTGGAAAAGCCAATATTAAAGTTGGAATTACCAACTTTAAAGTTGGAAAAACCAAGATTAAAGTTGGAAAAGCCAAGATTAAAGGTGGAATTACCAACTTTAAAGTTGAAAAAGCAAAGATTAAAGTTGGAATTACCAACTTTAAAGTTGGAAAAGCCAAGATTAATGTTGGAAAAGCCAACTTTTAAAGTTGGAATCACCAACTTTAAAGTTGGAAAAGCCAAGATTAAAGTTGGAATTACCAACTTCAAAGTTGGAAAAGCCAAGATTAAAGTTGGAATTTCCAACTTTAAAGTTGGAATTACCAACTTTGAAGTTGGAAAAGCCAACATTAAAGTTGGAATTACCAACTTTAAAGTTGGAATTACCAACTTTAAAGTTGGAAAAGCCAAGATTAAAGTTGGAATTACCAACTTTAAAGTTGGAAAAGCCAAGATTAAAGTTGGAATTTCCAACTTTAAAGTTGGAAAAGCCAAGATTAAAGTTGGAATTTCCAACTTTAAAGTTGGAATTACCAACTTTAAAGTTGGAAAAGCCAACATTAAAGTTGGAATTACCAACTTTAAAGTTGGAAAAGCCAACATTAAAGTTGGAAAAGCCAAGATTAAAGTTGGAAAAGCCAAGATTAAAGGTGGAATTACCAACTTTAAAGTTGGAAAAGGAAAGATTAAAGTTGGAATTACCAACTTAAAAAAAATATTGCGTGGCACTAATACGCTTCCGTAAGTACGTGTTATCAATAGAGTTTTTTTTAGATGGCGATTAGTGGTGGCCAATGGGGGGGGGGGGGTTATTTTTTGAATGGTGATTGGTGATGTCCTATTGTTTTTTTTCCTTTTGGATGGTGATTGGTTGTTTTCAATTGGAGGTCTATCTCTTGGACGGTGATTGGAGGTTTCCTCTTGGGTGCCCTTCTTTTGGATGCATATGGTCGTTGGTGGCATGGGGGGGGGGGGGGTAGCTTAGACGGTGCTTGATCGATGGTGTTGGAGGTCTTTCTTTAGGATGGGGAATGGTGTACTATTGGGGGCCTTTCTTTTGGATAGGTCGCCTGTGTGGCGCAGTGGTGAGAGCGTCTGCTCTCGAGTGGCGAAGTAAGGAGTTAATCCTTATGTCGCCGGTTTAAATCCCACTGTAGGATGTGGTGACCAGTCCTTCGGATCAAACCATATAAACCGAGGTCCCCTGTCGCAGTAGGTGCACGAAAAAGATCCCTTAAAGCTATCGTGCAAAGTCATAAACCTATTATACGCAACGAACAAAGCGGTGTCCGCCATATTTCTCTATACTCTGCGATAGTTTCAATTCCAAATATATGTGATGAATCGCGGTCACGGACTATTGCACACGCTTCCAGAAGGCCTAGTGTGTACACTAACCCCCCCCCCCCTCCCCAAATATAAGTCAAACTTGTACTGTCTTCCGCGAAATTTTAGAAAATAAATACTACATGATGATAAGAAATAATTGACAAAAAAATATTTTTCACAGAATAAGTACGTAAATAAATTAGAAAAAAGAAAAATATTTCTCAAATTATGTGAAATTAAAAGACTTCCGCTAAAACCTATGCAAAAGCTTTTTACATTGCTTCAGTTTGTTCAAATGGCATCTGTTAACGACACAATCCAAATAACTGTATGTATACACATTAGACGCAAATGCACGTTAGGGTAACAAAATGTTTTTTTTTAAACTAATAAACTATAAGTAGAAAAAAAAATAAGCACTATCATGTTAAAAATACACAAGTTCAATTACAGGCAGATGCACAGAAAAATATGAAGTTGACATCAGATTCATATCAAAATAAATCCCACCATATGGCATGCCTCAACAAAGAGTGTAACAAAATTTCAAGCATCCGCTATAAATAGCTAATGAGAAAACTGCGTCAAAGATTTGTAATGTATGAAACGGACAGACGCACAGGCAAACAGGATATTGATATCCGAGATGAGCAAAAATATATCCCACCATATGGCATGCCTCAGAGAAGATTGTGTTAAAATTTCAAGCATCTATGATGAGTAGTTGCTGAGAAAACTGCTACAAAAATTTGTT